CCACCCATCTCCTCTACACAGCAGAAACAGCGACCTAGAGGCTCATAACAAGCCAGTCGTGACTTATTCACATAATAAAGCAAGCAGATATCTAAATGAGCCATTGAGCCAGCCAGGGGGAGGGAGGCCATTAGCTGCTGGATGCTCGGTACATATTTGTATATCCACAATTGTCCCATCATTTGCATAGATGTGGCTGGCTGTAGAAATGTTAGCCAGCATTTGCACCCCCAAGGGCCCAGTGACAACAAAACCACTTGGACTGGTCTGTGCACTCACACTCAAGTCACAGACACATAAATCTGATAAGATATAGAATATATTTATATTTACCATAAAACAATGTGATACAATGGAATAACAAGTAACATATCAGTTTTATCATAGTTTATACTTTATGTGTAAACAGACCTACCTTCATGCTTGTAGCAGGTAAACTGGACATCTCAAAATCTGGACAAAACCCTGCCTATCAATTTCTCTTAACTGCCTTAGGTCACAAGTAGCTGGGGTAATCATTCCCTCTACTTTTAAAAGTAAATCAATATCCAAAAGAAATTTAAGAGAAATGTGTTTGACCTGGCATAGTCTGTAGCCCAATTTGTAACAGACTAAAAAGGCAAGTATTCCATCTTTGTGCAGGCCTATTCTTTATTCCAGCCTCTGGGAAGTAAAAAGTCGGATGCAGGCTATAGACTAAAGCTACAGTTTAGATACAGGCCCTGGTCTTTGGGGTGCAAAAGGGTGCACCATCATTTAGAAGTGTTTCATTTCAGTGTCCTCATTTGTGATTGACATTGATGCACCCTCAGTTAGTTTGGCCTGAGCCTGGGCCTGGCTAAGTTGTGAAAACTATACACTCAACACTAGCCTACAATAATACAGTAATGTAACAGTCTGTCACTGGGTCTCATGCCTTCATTCCTTAATTGTGTGAAATTCAACGGATACAATAACACAGTCCTGTCACTAATCAGATCCCTGTACAAAGAGGTCAAAGTTCAGCCCTTAATTTGACCCCTGACACATAATTAAATCGCCATCTTTAACCTCAGTTACGAGCCGTCACAGGGTATTGGATTACACGCTGCAAATCACTGTAGTAATCAATGGGCGAGCGCGGACACGGATACACGGGCCCGGGGCAGCAGCGTGGCCGAGCGCAGATTATGTTTAATGAAGTTGAACTGTACTGGGATCATGTTAGCGTGCAGCTAATTTAATTCTGGATGATGTTTTACTATAACACAGTGTTCTGAGGGGGACTGATAAGGCTCCACTGTGTGAATACATCCTTATAGCCTTCTGGTTAGTTGTTAGTTATTGCAGAACAGTCTAAGTTGTTCAATGCTTTGAGAGAGACATGGTCAGGGTTAAGGTTCTTAATAAAGGCTTAGTAAAGGCTTTAAGCACTAGTTGTTGTTTTTAAACATGTACAGTATCTTTATGCATGGAATGAATCCAACAAAGCATGCATGCAGATCTGTGAGCTGGACACAGATCTGCAAATCAAGCATCTATCTAAAAAAAAAAAGGCTGTTTAGCTCTCTCTAAAAGTTTTATTTTGAAAATGTCATAAAAGAATATTTGTTTGTCGTGGTCAAATTAGAGAGCTTATTTGTGATGGGAACAATCTGACGAAATCTTTTCATGTTATGTTTTTAACATGTTCTGCAAAGGGGAGGGTTGTTGTGTTGGGAGCATGAGGGGTGCTGTAGATGACACATGCAATGACAACTTCCAATCTAGTTACCGACACTGAGCTCTCAAACCAATCATCTGGAATCATCTTGAATTTGGCGCCCTCACCTCTTCTAAGTTCATGTACCCAGTGCGCTCCAAGATGTGTGTCAGTGGGGAAATGATGAAAACTGAGGTATGGTTGTAATTGTTGATTAACTGGACATAATGAAACTCCACAATGACATATAGATGAAGAAAACAGGGCCATTTTCTCATTTTTCCTAGATTTTGTCAAACTTACTACCATGAACAGAGCCTACTGGAAGTTGTCATCGCATGTTTACAAATGTCTTCCTGGTTTGTGTAGCACTGACCCCGGGAGAGTCTGAAATCTGCTGAAATCCTACGAGACACTGACATGATACCAGACCATAGACCGTATATGAGGACAGCAGCTCTTTCATGGAGACATGTGCAGTAGAGCATCAAGTGTAGTCTGATAATCCCTCTATAGCGCCACAATAACGTGTTTTGTACATAACATGATGGCACAGTCACACCAAAATGTTGCACAAACTGTTTAATGTACAGGGAGCTTTACTGGTGTGTGAGCACCTCTAGAGCTGGGATCTGCTCGAGTCCTGGAAGGGTCTTGAGTCCAGGGATCTGCTCAAATCCTGGAAGGGCCTCGAGTCCAGAGATTTGCTCAAGCCCAGAGATCTGCTGAAGTCCTGGGAGGGTCTCGAGTCCAGGGATCTGCTCGAGTCCAGAGATCTGCTTGAGTCCTGGGACAAAAGTCCCAGTATAAACTAATATAAAGTATAAACTTTATAGTAATAAAGCCGATGTAAATGTATTTATTAACCTGTCTTCTGTTATAATCAAATTAAGCATGTTTGAGTACAACCTGTGAATCTCTTGGTTTGTTGATAATTGTATAATAAGCAGCTTATTAATGCTCGGACTCATGTTTTGTTGTTAATAGCTTATTAACATTATAAAACATCTACAAATGATAGTTAATGCTTTATAAGTGTTTACAAACAAATGACTGTTGCTTATTATAGCCTTATATATTCTTTACTAAGGACCCTTATTTTAAAGCGTTGCCGAACAAGCCATAATTTTGAATTTAGCTCTTGTCACCTATAATGTTGAGCACTCAAAAGTATTTGGAGAGATTTGGGTAAGGAAGGGAATTTGGTGTATTCAATGAACTTGCTGTGATGGTAATTGAAAGGAAAACTCTAAAGTAAAGATGAAAGATAAACATTATTATTTTAGGCCTGTAAGTCTACTAATATGTTGCATGATGTAAAAGTATTCTAAGTATTCAGAATACCATGTTTACCATGTAAATACATTTTCAAAGTATTTTTCCCACCAGTGCACATGGTCAAAATAACATGCAAGTCTTCACTTGAGTTAAAGGTATACACTGGGGGGAGCCATTGCTTTCTTAGGAATATTCTACAGTAGCCAGTGGAACTGGAGTTAGCATTAGAAAAATACTGTTCCAGGTAAGAAGTTAGTGGATCTTCAAAATGGCTATGGTTGTGATGTGGATGATCATTCAGACAGAAAAAGTACAGGTCCACTTATAATGTCCGAATGTCCAGACTTTTTATTTCAATGTGAAAAGCGTGCAATCTGAAATAACCCCAGTATTGGTGAAAAATGAAAATGTTCTTTAAGCCTTCATTGGTCATGATAGAGAGGATTTGAAATGGTCGCAGTGAAACCTTGAAGCTCAAATTGCCTCCTATTCTTCCACAGTGAACAAAACAGAAATAAATGTGTCCCCAAACTCAAATGATGCTGAATGAGTAGATGCTGATTATGATGTAGAGGCTGCTATTGCTTTTGAACGTGCAGGGCTTTCTATGTGTCCAGGGGCCCTGTGTTGTGTTTAAAGGGTTGTTGGGGCATAAATACTAAATTAATCATGCTTTAGCTCAACTTGCTGGGGACTGAAATTTGCTTATGGAGGCCTATGATCACATCAAATATTAATAGCTTTTACGCAGAATCGGCATTGTACCAACAGGACCCAGGCAACACAGAAAGTGAGGGAGGGGTCAGTTATAATGTACCATGCACCAGAATTTATAGATTTAAATGAACAAGCTACTTTACCATTATAATGTAATGGCACTATTAAGAGCCATTTTGTAGGTATTGTTCAACACAATTACTTCTAATTAGCTTGAAGCAGTGGCAGCCATAATATTCAAATGATTATGAATAAAAACATTTCAGCTGGGAATTATAACATATCCATATGACCGGCTTATTTATACACAAGAGTCTTCATAATAATGAATAAAATTACATTACAGACTACATTTTCAGTTTGTTTTGGTGCTGAATTTATAGCACATCTCCAACACTCAAGGGAGCAGAAATATCATAAAAAAACAAGTCTAACTTTGAATGTCATTTTTCTCTTTGACACAAATTGAGAGGCTGGATTTTGTCACAGATGTTATAAACTTGTTAGCTGCTATTTTCTAAGCTCACACTGGGATAGAAACAGCACTGTCCAAATGGGAGTCAGAGGGAGGTGATTAAAATAAAAATCCCTATGACGACATAACACTTTTTCGGATCAAACAAGCCATGGTATCAAAGGAATATTTCATTTTAAAAACTAAAATATAAAATTTTTTGTTGAATTGTACTGTATATTTTATCTGATTCCAATAATCCAATAATGATTGTTTTTCTTTCCCTGCTGTAGGTGTTAAGTTCAGTTGCACCACAGTGGGTAAATGACTTAACAGAAGGGGGCATTTGCACACACCTATTCTGGACAGAGGGGAGACAGAGGGGTGCATTGTGGGAAAAAGCTTATGTGATAAACAGTTCATAGCCGACCACTCTACATGGCTAAAATCAGATTCCTCACAATTATCTCTGCGAGCCTGACAGGAGGACCATGGGAGGCGGGAAACCTTGAACCGCTGGGCACTGATTGGGTTATTCGTCCAGTGTTTTTCTGGAGTGAAGGATTGTGGGAGCTGTAGTGGCACCTCTGCAGGAGTCTAGTAAAGGAAAAGAGCACCTCCAAGTATTATAGCATCAAGGCTTGTAAGTTGTAACCAACTGAAACTGTAAATTTTGGATTTTTCTCCAGGCACTGATTAAAAGTCAGTATTGTTTATGAAATACACAAACAACATTAAGTATTTTTTTCATTTTTGACAAAAAAAAAGGCTCTTTTAAAATAGTTTTGTGCTAAAATGCCAAATTGCTTTCATATTCATGCAATGTATGACACGTTATATTTTCAAGTTCAAAAGAAAAACAGAACCAAGTATGAATCAAATCCATTTGTTTTAAAGATATAGAAATAACATACAAAAACAACAGCAAACATCATAAACTCTGCACAATTCATGAAAATAAGAGCATCTGTTCTGAAAAGTTAAGTCGGCTCCGTGTGGTTTTGGATGTCCTTTGAAGAAAACCTGGTTCAGCTGCTTTCATCACTGCAAAGGAAAGAGAAGACATATTAGATACATTTTGATACAGCTGTACATGCAAATTTTAAGTTTTTATTTAAATACTTTACCATACACGTGTTATATAAGTTTACCTTACCAGTGTGTTCATGTGGGTGCATTCAGAAGTTTTTATAGAAGTATGCTCTTTTAGGAAAGATGAAGTTTTTTTTGTTTTTTTGAAATGGTCTTTGGATCTTTTTTCATTCACTGCCAATATTTTTTTTTTTTCCTTTTTTTTTATTCAAGATGTTTTCTTTTTGCTTTTGCTTTTTTTGGCAGGATATTTTCAGACCATTTCAATTCTTTATTTTTTTACAAGTCAAAATAAAGCCAGGAACTGAGAAGCCAAGCATTTTTTTTTTTTTACAAATTATTCAAACCCATACATAAAATATTTACACATAAGCATTGCAACTGACTGAACTAACACTGTGTCTGCAAAAGCTACAGTCTTGTTAAATTACAACACGTTTTTGTATTAAGAAACCATGTTAACTAATGTGTCTAAGTGATCAGCGTTCACTAATCCAATTGTTCTGTAAGGCAAAAAAAAAAATACAGAACTACTAACTACATTAAGAGCATTAAAAAATCATCATGTTGCAATTGCAAAACATTAAAAGTAACCTAAACTTGGTACATGGTTTCGATGCGATCTTTGTTACAGAAAAACAAAAACCGGGTCAAAAAATAAAAAGCCGCATTTCTGACATCATGGTCGAAGGTCTTGAAAGTTGATGGACACTGGTCTTCATCTTCTCCAGGAGCGTGGCTCGTCATCTTCCTCATCATCGTCCTGCAGCAACGCATCGTCACTCAGCGACTCATCCTGATACTACAGAGAAAACAGTGGCATGTTGTTCAATCTAATGCAAAGTCCAGGCATTCAGATCTAGTTTCTATTCTTTGAGAGTTTGGGGTCAATAAAGGCGCACTCAACTTGAGTGTTACAAATGTACAATGGCTCCCTCTTGTGGAAGACAGGCAAAGTTAAAAATCATGTTTTTTTGCATTTAAAAATCATCACATTCTGTCACATTTTAAAGGAAAAGCTCAAGAGAAAAATATTTTATTCCAGGTTTGGCTGGCAGAGTGAGTTGAATTATTTTAAAGCCTTCCATTCAAAAATTTGGTAATATAACTATGCAGTCCTGTGAACAGACTGTGATAATCTAACACATACTCATTCATTAAGTGCCTGGTGCACAATCTGCCAAGTGATGGCTAAGGTTAAAACCTACCTCTTCCTCCTCTTGTTCAGCGTCCTCTGCCTCCACATTACTGAGATTCACCGCAGGTTTATGCCAGGCCAAGCGCAGAGTCTGGTTGTTCAGCCTCACTCCGTGTATAGCCGCCTTACAAAATGATTTTGAGTATCAAAGTATTAAAATTATTATTTCTAATGTTTATACATCATAATGGATTATAAAAACCCACCAGTTCAGCCTCCGCTCTTGTCTTGTAAGTGATGACTGCCGTCAAACTGTTCTCATCAATTTGACAATCTTCAATTTCACCAAATTGCTTGAGAATTTGAAAAGAACACATTCACTCAAATACTTTACTTTTTCAAATCTGAACAATTTTCTAAAAACAAAGTGATTATAAACAATGAAACACACTGGCTCACATTTAACACACTGGTCGTACTTGTGTTCTTCAGGGTTTATCACAGTAATTCTTTCATACAGTTAAGGTTTTTAGCAGTATATGCTCTTCCTGTTGCATTTATGCAGATTTTATGCTAAATTCGATGTGAATTTTCTTTGTCCAACTATATCCACCAGAGGGCACTATAGTCCTGTTGTAGCACTAATAACGCTTCAACCCCACATTTGAACTGGACTTACAGCAAAGTGTGGCAGGAGGTTAACATTGTCTGCGTCACTGAAGCCTGAAATCTCAAGTGCTCTTGGTCTGTGGTCCACCACTGCGTGTGCAGGGACTCCTCTTCCTCTGCCCCGGCCCCCGCCTCTTCCTCTTGCCCGGATCGCCCCACGACCTCGAGGGTGCAGCCCACGGCCCCGAGTTGACAAGATACCCCTTTTGGCAGCCTTCAAGGAAAAATACATACAATTGGTGAGAGCACAAGAAAAAAGCTTTGGACAAAAAAAATTAAAATGCAGTTGTTTACACAAATACAGCAACTCCTCATAGTTTCATAGTGCGATACAGATTTTTCTACTTCCACAATAATGCAACAATAACGTTGCCATTGCAACATTCTGGCTTCAGTGGTCCTATTCTGTTTTACTAATTAGATTTTGCTCTGAAATATGTTAACTCCATAGTTACCTCAATTCAAAAACACCAAGTCCAACGTCATGTTTTAACTATGCAGTTCATTATTTGATAGTCATCTAAAAATGGGAGTCTGCTTTCAGGAAATTATGAGCTATACCTCGATTTGCAGCTGTGTGTACTTAATCTTCAGCAGTGCAGTGTCCTCTCCAGACTGGGTCTTCTTATACAAGTCCAACTCCGCATCCAACAGCTCCTTTTGTGCCTTTTCACATAAAACATTTCATTTAATATTTAAAAGACAATGAATTATCATCTCTAATACAACTGGAATATCAAGATTAATTGGTTAACTGATCATTGTGATTTAAGTCAATATACTTGACACTGTGTGCATAATTATTAGGCAAGTTGTATTTATGAGGATTCAAACCTGAATATTTAAGAAAGTAGGAGAACATCTATGTCTGTGTAATTATTGGGCCATTAATGTGCAGAAATATTACACAACTAAATGAAAAATTTCTGAATACTTAACAACAAAAATTTACAAATAAACTCTTGTGACATTTACAAAAATAAAAAAAAATAAAAATTGTGAGCAATGTAGCCACCCTTCTCAGTAATAGTCATGAGCCTTCTGTTCCTTTGCTGACAATAAAATTTTAATCAGCAGCAACTACTAGAGGCTACAGAGAGGTGTACTGGTTTCCTTCACCGTAAATCATTTGAGAAGAGCTTACAAGTTCTCAATAGCATTTAGGTCAGCTGAGGAAGGGGGCCATGTCATTTTTTTCATCTTTAAGGCCTTTACTGGCTAGCCAGGCAGTGGAGTAACCTTTGAAAAATCTGTCTTCAGCCATTTCTTGGACCAGTCTTGACGTTTCAGCTCATGTTTCTTGTTCAGTGGTGGTCGGCTTTCAGCCTTCCTTACTTTTGGCCATGTACTGAGTACTGAACATCTTGTACTTCTGGGCTCTCCAGGTAGGTTGCAGTTCTGGAATATGACAGCGCTGGAGGATAAAGAGTTCCTGGAAGCTTCAGGTTTGATTCTTTTCAAACCTCTTGCAGTACATTTGTGTCTTTTTTGCTCTCAACACGTTTCTTGCAACACTGTTGACTATGTGCAACAAGACATTTGATGGTTCTGTGATCAAGCCCCAATTTCTTGGCAATTTCAAGAGTACTGCATCTCTCTGAAAGACTTTTTACAATTGTTGAGTTTTCAGAGTCAGTTAAATCTCTTGTTGGCCAATTTTGCCTGAGAAAAAGAAGCTGCCTAATAAATCAGCATACCTTGATATAAGATGTTAATCTTCTCAGGACACACCCTCCCTCATTAGACAATTACATATCACCGTATATGCTTAAGTCCAATTCACTTTTATACAGTTTGGAGTTGGAGAATATGCATAAAAATCATGATATGGTCAAAATACTCACTTGCCAACAATTGTGCACTGAATGTAGTCATAAAAACAAAAAAATATATATAAAAACAGATATAAATTGTGACCATTTTGGAAGCAAAAATTTTTAATTTCAGTCTATAACAACAACAAACACCCTAAACCATATCATATTGAAAACTGATGTTTTTTCTAACACCAAAATGTGAAATGTCTATTTATAACACAGTCATATTTTGAAGCTATACCTGTGCCTTGGTCTTAGCCGTCCGGATGGGAGTGCTGGCTGAGATGCCTTTTATCTCCTCTTGCAGTTTTGTGATGCTTTTGGTCAAGGTGGTCAGTGTCTCCATAATCTTTGCCTTATCCTCAACTTTCATTGTTTTATTCTTCTCCAATTTGGAAATGAGGAGCTGTGAGAGGAGAGGGGCAGAATGTCAGCAGCTGAAAGCTATGCAAACACTAACACAAAGATGAAATACATAAATAAATTCAAGTCATATGGAAGGACTAGTGGAAACTTTGCAATACTTCTTACTCTGAGCCTCTGTCAGTATAAATCTACCCAACTGCATGAATGAAACACCATGTATGGTTCTACAAAAAGGGAAACTGAGTGGTTAATAGAAAGAAAAATATCATCTTGTTACCTTCTGAGTTTCAATATGTTTCTCTAGAATCTCCTGCTTCTTCCTCCTGACATCCTGCTGTAGTTTTAGTGCATCCTGTTGGCAAAATAATCAAAAATTAAACACAAGGTTTCAGAATAATAAAATTTGAAAAGTTATTTGATCCATTTTGCACCTGTTTTTTCTTTAGAACTTCCTCTGTGGTTTTCTGAACAGCCTTCAACGCACCAGGATTGTAAACCGTTTTTGTAAGACCCATGGATGTGGAAAAGACCTGAAAACATATTTAATAGTTTATCCTCCATATAATAAAGCAGTAGACATTTTATTAATTTACATTTTTTATTAACGTTAAAGGAGGAAAAAAAGACACACCTTTTCTATAGGAGCGGTTGGCTTGGCAGAGAAACCTAAACGTTCTTTCACTGATGGCTTTGATGAATTCTGTGTAATAAAGACAATTTAATAGTAAATGCAGATGTTTCATATATTGATATACAGTTAAGCCCCACCCACAGAAGTACACACCTGAGAGTCCACACTTGAGTCTTGTGTCGGCTCAGGGCTCGGGGTGACTAAGGGTCCCAGACGGTCTTTGACAGACTGCTTCAGAGATGTGGCCGGGGGCTATATCAACATTAAAACATTCCCTTTAAAATGAGCACTACAGGAATACCTTCAGGGTTTTATATGATATAGAGAGCCTAGAGGTGAGCAATATAAAGTCTACAAGATTACATATTTTAAAAAAATTGAATTTATATATATTTATTGTTTATAATAAAAAAAAACGTTAACATATAAAATAATTTCAGTACACTCTTTTCTGTGTAAACTCTGCACACCTGACTGGAGTTGAAGGAGAGGCACTTATCTGAAAAGGTAAGACAGCTGCACACTGTTTCACTTTTGATTCACTTTTTTTTTGTACTTTTTGGTCACTCTGATCCTAAGACCGAAACCACTAAGTGATATATGTGCGAGTCTTTCAGTTTTGCACTCAAGAGAGCAAATGTCAGTCAGTACCAGTTTTTTTTTAAATATATGTTTTGCGTTTGTTTTTTACCTCTTTGCACTAGAAGTGTCATAATCAAAGATGTAGTTTACCTTAGCTAGTTCTGATCATTGTTTTACAGAGTTAAGCAAACAAAATTAAAACATACTCAAGATAGAAAAAAAGTATGAAAAGTTCCTTTTTAAAAAAACAAATTGAAAAAGCTTTTTCTTTCAAAAGGCCATATAAAAACACAGAGCCCATACCGTGGCAGTTTGTTGTTGCTGTTGTGAGTGCACCTGGCTCTGTGCGTCGCCTCCGTCCTCCCGATACCAGTGCAGTCGAATGAAGCGGTTGTTGAGCACAGCCTCTGGGCTCTGCATGGCCCGTTTCGCCTCCTCTGGAGCAGCAAACTGGATAAGAGCTGCCTCAGGGTCATTCTGGAAGGCCACCTGCCAGGGGAAGCAGCAGACATTTTAAATTAGAGTTTAGGTTGAAAGTAGCAGACACTTCTAACAATCTAATACTGAGTATGTATATATAACCCACATATACACAAAAAGGTGAACAAAATCTAAAGCAACTACTATTTAATAAGAAAACTGAACAAGCTCTCTCTTCATCTTCTCTACTTAAAGCTACCTCAGTATTTTATTTTATTTTTTTACCAGTACATGACAGATGTGAAACCAACCCAACATTCATTATTCATTATCAACATCACATATTTAAATAAAACAGTTCCCAGTAAGAGCAGGTTACCTGTAGGTTGACAATGGTACCAAATTTGCTGAAATGTTCATTGAGTTCGCTGATATTATTGAGCTCGGAGGGAATTTGCCGAACCATCAGTTTGGTGTTGAGTGGGTTAAATGGGCCCCTCTTGTGGTAACCATGGTGATTGGCTTTGTTAAAGTTGGGCCTACATAAATTAAAGAGACATGACAAATCTGTAGGACCTTTACCCAATTCATTATAGTGCATGGTGTCTGGTGTAACTTACTTTTCAAACCATGGTTTCTTGGACAAAATGCCCCCGTCATGAGAGCCTGCTGCCCTTTTTCTTGAGTCAGACTCCATCACAATTCTCATGCTGTTATTTGGGATTTTTTCTGAATATATATAAAAAAAAAAAAAATTAATACACTTTAAGCATAGCAATAAGCAAATTTAAACACAAGAAGGTTTCAGTACCTCTTGGTGGCTGGTCCACATCCCCCATAGTAAGGCCTATCAGGTTGGGTCTTTGGGTGTTGCGATGGCGGTACACCGGCCTGGATGAACTGGTAATGCTAGGAGCTTCAGGGTTGTATACATCAGTGTCAAATACTTCTGGGCAAACAAACAAAACAAAATTAAACAAAAATATTAATAGTTAAAAGTAAATCTTTAATATTTATTGCTTTGTTAGTCTTAAGTCAATATCAAACAGAACTGACTCACACAATGTATCAGAATTTTGATGGTTCCTCTACATCACTAAGTACAGTTAAGAGTGATTCAGGCATAGTAATAACTTAATTAAAATGGTTAAGAAGAGTAAGATAATACTTAATACCCTTAGCCTGAATCATTCTTATTAAAAAAAAAATATTGATTAAAGTCTTTATCCATGCTTTTTAGGTGTGGTCGTTATAAACGGCCAATATTTGAAACACCATTTAACATGTTCTCTTGCTTAACATTAAAATAATATAGATCTTATATATGTCTATATATTTCTATCCCTATCTTTATCTCTATCAATAGATAGATCGATAAACATAATCTATAATACAATTAATTAATTATAAAAATATAATCTTCACCAGGATTGAATAGAGGTGGTGGGCCTGGAGGAAGTGAGGGGCGCATTCCAGAGGTGACAATGGTGGGCACAGAGCTGGTGATGGAGTTAGGAGGGGCGTCCATTCCTGAGGGTTGCAGTGGAGGAAGAGGTGGAGGAGGACCTGAGCCAAACAAAAATAAAATCTTTATATATTACTTGGATATCATAAAAAACAAGGCTCCTAACTTTAGAATTTAAGAAGTAGGGCTAGATCAAGTTTATACTTCAGCTCACTCCCTTTTGAACATTTTCATTTTTACTTTTGTAAATCATGCAATCACATGCATGACATTGAAGTATTTTTTATTGAATGAAGCAGAATATTACATGCATCAAATCAAAAATTGTAATGAAATTACTAAAGTTAAAGTTAAGTTATATTAAAGTACATTTTATGAAATAGTATGGAATATTATTATAGCCAAAAGAATCATTTCTATGGAAACAAGCAGCAGGAAGCCCTAATCCAGACAAAATAGCTGTGTTTTATTAGAGGGACTTGCAGCAAATAAAACAGAGATTTTAACCTATTTTTTGAAAATAAATAAATAAATAACAATATGGCCTTAATAAGTTAATAGATTGCCACTTTCCAAGGATTAGTATTTTAAAGATATCAACCTCCATTTTTTACATAAACCTTACCTGCCACCGGTGGAAGGCTGGGTGGGAGTGTGCCTGGTGGGGGCACGGGGGGCCGCAGGTTCACAGGTGGGGGGTTCAGGAGTGGAGGAGGGGGCAGTCCTGGAGGAGGAGGATCCACACCCGGGATAGGTGGAGGTTGGAAAGGCAGAATATTTGGCAAATTCACATCTTCTACCACCACAGGGTCACTTCCATGGTCAAATGGACACATATCTCCTCGCATACAAAAGCCCTTTTCTATAAAACAAGGGAAAAGAATTAAAATTGAGTACTATTAATTCTAAAATACACTGCACGCATAGAAAAAAAAAACACATGTTCTTCGTAATGAATTTTTATTGTCAAATAAAATGTTTTGGGCTGTGCGGAGACTGCTATTGTGAAATTGGGCTAAATAAAAATACATGGAACATGCTGTGTAGAGAAGTCAACAACATTCAATATGTTACTAAAATAATCAAAGAATGCAGGTGGGCAATATACATCATCTACAAGAGAATGAAAGTTGCTTAAAGCCTATGCAAAATTAGAATGGCAAGTATGTTGTCTTAAAAAAAAAAAAAAAAATTTTTTTTGTCAATACTGCCCATTCCAACAAAGGAGATAGGAAAATCATCCAATAGATCATAACTGTACCATCATAGTCACGGCATCTCTTTCTCTGCGGTGGAGGTGGGCCGCGGTTGAAAGGCCCGCGCTCCACAGGGTGCTCAGGTCGAAACTCAGACCAGCTCTCTGTGGTATTGTTGCTATGGTGATGAGTGGGGGCGATGACCGTGATAGTGCTGCTCAGAGACGGGACAGGGAAGTGGGACGTAGATGCAGACGATACGACTACAGCAGGTGCAAAAACATCTGCACCTTCTGGCCGACTCTTTCCCGAATCTCTCTCTGTGACAAAACAGTCATAGCAAAATGACGAGTTTCATAATGACTCTTAAATACAGCCATTTACAATATCTGAAAAAAATTATATTTTGATTCACTGAGTAGGTGGGTCACACAACTAGTAATCGTAACAGACTACTTTTTAGGCCTACAACATTTATTGCAATCCAATGGAAAATTTAAATGTGAGTGGTTATAAGGACATTTATTAAAAACCCTTTAAATCAAAGTCTACAAACTTGTCATGTGTTTACCTCTACTCCTGGTCCTGGACCGACTCCGGCTATGTGTCCTGCTCCGTGTGTGGTCCCTGTCCCGGTCTCGGTCTCTGTCTCTGTCGCGGTCCCTGTCGCGGTCTCGGACACGGTCTTTGCTCCAGCTGCGGCTTCGACTACGGCTGTAGCTGCGGCTGCGTCCCCGTCGGCGGTTGTAGCGGTCGCGATACGAGTCTCTTCTGGGAGGCAGGCGGTCGTAGTCCCTCTTTCTGGTGCGGTCATCCCTTCTTCGGTCATCTCTCCTAAAATTAAATGACCTTTTGAGTACATAGGAGACACATGAAGGGAATTTGAATACAAAACAGCAGCTAGGAATTAGAAACCATATTTTTATATATAATTTTATGTTTTTCTTAATATATTTTCAAAACTAATTCATTCAAATGCTCCTATTTTATCAATGTTAACAGATTTTTAAAATATTTCTTTGGAGATTTTAACAAATGTTTGTTTATATTTACGTCTTATCTATAAAATATTATAATTTCTCTTTGAGAAGTGATAACAAGTCAGGCTGTTTGGATGGGAGATTTGTTGTGCATTTATGTGCTTTAAGTCGGATCCTGAGAACACACTCTCTTTGAAACTTGGTACTTTGAACAAACACTATTGCCTATAGGAGTTATCCAAACCTAATGTTCACTTGATACAAAATATCTTTCTTGCAAACTATCCTAGCTGTGACCTCTATTATGACTTCCACAAGTTAGTGACCCTGATGTCACACAGATCAATCGTGCTGCTTCTAGAATTCCTATTTCTTCTTCATGTGCAGCTTCTGCTCAGAAAGTCGTATCAATGATTCATCCACCATGTGAAAGCAGCATTAAACCCTGTAACACACCTGCTGTCTCGGCTGTAACGGGAGCTGGACTGAGGAGGACTGTGAGTCACACGCCGTGAATTCTTTTTCTCCCGTTCTTCTTCTTGTATTGGCTGAAAACAAAAATAAATATGGGGCATTGGCAATAAATGTTGTAAATAGCAAAGACCTTTAATGTATTTTTAAGACATACCTCCTCCTTTTTAGGCTCATCTTTCTCGGGTTTTGTGACAGCAGCTGGCTGCTCAGACTGGGGTAGGTAGCTTTTACTGTTTATAGCTTCAAAAAGTTTATCCACAAATTGTTGGGTCTCTACAAAAAAAAATTTATTAAACACACGTTATGCTGCAGTTTTCGTTATAGTATCATACATAGCCACGTGATGAACATTTACAAATGAAATACCTTTCTGAAGAAACACGTCCAGTTGGTCGATACAGAGAGCTTTTAGTTCTTTTTCGGTTTTATCCTTTTTCACCAAAGCCACGACATACTTGGCGAGAGCAGAGGGGTCCGCGTCACAGCTGTGGGTTAACAAAATGTTAAGCATGTAGCACAGTCCAGTTTTAATACAGAGGATAAATATCTAATGTCTATTACTGAAAACATGTATTATAAATAAGAACCTTTACTTTTCTTAGCGCTTATAGTAATGGATTACATAACCCAATGAAAAACCAGACCGCTTCGTTGCTAACAGAGTAGCTTCTGTACTTACATGGGCTCAAGGGTTTCAGACAGCCACGATTTCAGCGCTTCAAGATTTTCAATTATCATTTTACATCCAACCAGAGATCCCGCGTACTCCAGTCGGGTCTGACGCTGTCGGCGGTAACTTTATTTATCTGTGCTGACGAGAATACGACATTAGTAGCTTCAACAAATCGGGTGCTAAAAGCTGCTATAGCTTAACCGCGCTTACGTTGGCTACGTGAAGTTAGCAGACGTCTTTCATAGACCTTACTTAATGTCGTGCGGTACTTCAAATATCGCAGTGCAGCTTGTGTGAAACAGTCACGGGGCTGTATGACTGACAGCTGCTTATTTGGACATCTAGAAGGACCTAATCAAACTCAACACGCAAAATTAGGGGCCATCCACGCTTTATTTTCCCCTATGCTCCTCGCATCAGCTAAATGTGTCATGGCGACTATTTACTTCCGTCTGTAGTCCCGCAGCCAAAGTATCGCGAGGACACAATGCCGCTTTAAACTCTGGTTACACTAATAGGCCAATTTTGAAAAAATAAACAAAAACACCAAACTTAAATAGATTGCAAGCCCCCTCTTTGATAATTTGTATTCACGTCACCACTCGTGTTCAAGTGATAAACTCTTAAAATTAGAAAGTGTTAGTGTAGTTTTAGGTGATATATTATCACCTGATAATCTCACCTCGACAGAGTGAAAACCTGTCCTTTTGGTTGTCCTGCTGAGCCATTGTGGCCCATGTCCCATTGATGCCACATGAATAGTATAAAAAACGTGAGATTTACATAGACAAAATGATTGTGTGTGACTTTAAAGATTTAATATGTTGGCATCTGTGGCCATTCCAATATCCAATAGTGTATTATGACTGATAATGCAAAAACATATTATGCTGTTTCTATCTATGAGCTTAAATTTCCCAAAGCCATCCCACCATCTCCTACCACATTCAATAATTTCTGCCTCTTTTTATTTATTTTTGAGGTGATTTATATGTGCTTTTTAAGTTTGAAAAAAAAAACGTGCTTTGTCAAACTCCAGTCAGCTGTTGTAGTCTATGACACATTTTTAATCAGTTGATATCTTTTATTGTTTTACAGTTTTGCTGAAGCCAACATACCATACAAATACAGTAGGCCTACTTACATTTATTCCTTCAATGTCATAATCAAACTTTCTCCCCTCCAACAGTTACCTCACATACGGTGCCTTTATTATACATCATTATGTGGCCTTCCTCGATTTAGATCAGTGACTCTCAAACTCTGGTGGTACACAAGCTTTTTCAGCGTTTTCTGTGGTTTTGACCTTTAATTTTATTGTTTTGGTTTGTCATATTTTGGTCTTCCTTTGAGTTCGTCTTCATTCTGATAAAGGTTAAATATGGTGGTTATGCATGGAAATCCAAATATTTATAGTAGCCTATATTTATTGTAGTATATTTATAGTTTGAGAAACACTGATTCAGCTAAATGTGTTTACCAAAGTCACATTTCGTATTTTGTATTTCTAACACTGGTAAACTATAAACTTCATCTATTACTTTCAAGTTACTTTAAGTCCTTCAACCATCTTGATGCAAAATATTATACTCATTCATACATTTAGAAAACACCTTATCTTAATACCACTTTTAGGGATATGAAAACAGCTCATAATATACATACATTACATTCATTTTCAATACATTTGCTGGTGCTCTTTCGTAAGTCTGTTTACACCAAAGGAATCAGTAAAATGTAACTGACAGTGAAGTATAAAGTTTTTTTGATCAGTCAGGCTGGACACAAGTGGACACAAACAACAGCCAAACCCTATTATTTTCTTAACAAACAGAAAAAGGTCAAAGAAGAGCTATAGAACTGGCCAGGATGTGCCCATTGCTTATTTTCAACAACTAATGGGAGTTGCAATGAAATAATGAAACATCTAAGAGTATAAATATACATACAAAAAAGTTAATATTTTCAGTCCATTTCATTTATAAGAAAGCAAGGGAGGTTAAAATAAGTTACTGCTGAGAAAACTCTTCAGTCAGCATTAAAATCTCTAAAAACTGTTCTATCAAAATATATCAACACAACTAAGAAGACATATATATACAAAAGTGTACATCTAATATTCCCTTTCAACAAACTTTAGGTTTATGGGGGCACCTGGACAGAGCAGGCCATGGGTTTTGGCTTTGACATAATCAGTCTTCGGGGACACCTCAATGCGAAACTTCTGAATCATCTGCAAAAAAAAAAAAAGTTGGATTTGTCAGAATCTGTCACTTTGTCAAATTACAAACTCATCTAATTTATTACATATTTAAACTTATGCAGTCACACAAGAAATGTAATGTTTTGTGCCACCATAAAAATATAATTTAGCATCTCATATATCTTGTGATTTTTTGTAAAGTCATTAAAATACTTTTACCATATAAAGCTTTGTTTATATTGTATTCCATCATATGTAAATTCTTACCCTTATGAGAGCTAGGTGCATTTCCAACTCTGCGATTCTTCTGCCAATGCAACTTCTGATGCCGTAGCCAAAAGGAATGGAGCCAAAGTTGTCGACATGGTCTGTTGTGTCTTTTCTTACCCAGCGATCTGGTCTAAAGTCCGTAGCATCCGTAAAGCTTTCCTCCTCCAGAGATGTTGAGTAATGACACAGAGCCAACTGCGTCTAATAAAAGCCAAATGCAGAAAAAGTGCAGCCCTCAATGAAAACAGCTGTGCCATGGGACAATGCAATAAAGACGTATGAGTCATGAAAGATCACATTACAAATTACAACATATTCCTTTGGCCGTTGCTAAGCTTATTCTTTCCTTGAGACCATGAAAACTATAACAACCTTAATATCATTTTCATCAATATTACCCCTTTAGGGATGAAGTATCCGCCCACCACCAAGTCATCTTGAGTAATACGACCATTGCCTGGGAGAACAGGAAAAAGCCTACACCCAAGGAGACAGATCAAACAAGTATTAAAATGTGTTCTATTACATTTCCAGTCTAAAGCTTAAAACTGCAGATAATGTGTAAATGTATGTAGCTTGTACCTGAGTGTCTCTTTGACCAGACCGCGGATAAGTGGCAGTTGAGAGACATCATCAGCAGAAGGCACTGTGTTGGGTCCTAAAGTTTTATCCACTTCTTCATGGATCTGTTGCTGTATATGTGGGTAACGTGCTAATAAATAAGTGGCCCAAGACAGGGTGAAAGAAGTCTGGAAAAACAAAGGAGAAAACTGTATCAAATCTGTTGTTCAAGTATTATCCAATCATGTGTCTGCTATATGTTTAAAAAGGGCAATGAATTTGAAATGTTGTAATTCCCCCAAATTACATTATCATTTTCCTTGTGGAAATGTTTTATTCTTTGTCAGAAACTGAAACTACAGCAACATATTTTTAAAACATGATTTAACCTTAATCTAGCGTAAATTTGGATCACTGTACAGTGAAAATTAAGTTTCCTCCATGTAACCATTGCAGCACCAAACTGAAGTCTGCTGAACATCAGTGTCTCAGAGTGAATTTAAGATCAAAAAGACAAGAGCTCTTGAAGATGACCGCATTTTAGTCACAGCGCTTCATCACCTTGTTCTTCCTCTGGTTCCCCACTGATTCTGTCACCACTCATTCCACATTTAACAACTTGATCCTAATCAACCCCAGCTGCTGGCAACACCTCAGACAAAGCACTTCAGGAATCACAGGACAAATCAAATCGCGCTTTAAAAAAAACGTCTCTTTCTCTCCTCCCCCCACATCGCCTCTGCGCTTTCAGACATACATCAGCTCCCCTGTTACCTCTCTCTTGGCTCTTTTATGAGAACCTCCTCTGAAAGCCAAGCCCAGCGCTGCCCCCTAGCCTCATCTTGGCTGGTTGGTGCTATAACTCTCGCTCAGGCTAATACGTCTTGACAGCTCTAGTGTGTGCTGAGTAAAGGCAAATGCAGCAAGGGGTCAGGTACTGGCTCAGCACAGTCCACCCCCTGCCAGGGCATGGCCGTTGTAACAAGTTCAACAAAAACATACGCACCCCTTTATCCCATGGCCCCCCGCTCTGCACAAAACACTCTACACCCCCAATTCTTATTAATCTGACAGAACCCAAAACAAATTAGGAGCTAGCTACACACATGCTCACTCAGATGCAAATGCGCACACAAGGGCAATGACAGGAAAATACTTTAAGTCCAAATGAGAGTGTCTCCAATTCAGCTAAAACAATTAAAATAAATATTTGTCCATAAAGAACGATTTTCAAAAAACGTATGTAAAACATTAAGGGCAGGTAAAATTACTGATCTGTACAAAGTTGAAAAATTTTTATTTTGAATGCAGAATATTTAATTTATATTTAGAAGAATGCAGAATATTTAACTTATTATATTTATAAATTGTCATAAATGTTAATAAGAGACAGAAAAAAACATGATAATACTAGCCAGTCTTCAAGCCCCCCTCTGCAAATCTTAACAAATGATGGGAAACCAAATCTGAGTGAGAACAATCTTAACAGTGGGACACTGTGTAACCCCTGATTCACTGTGCTGACCTGACGCTGGCACAGCTACACAGGTCTGAATATGGCGCCAGAAACCCAAGCCCTGAAACTGAAGCCCGGGCCAACACACACGTGCGACTCACAGACTATCAAACCAACACAGTAGCTCCCCTCACCTCTCGCCCATATCACCTGACACTACTGTACCATCGGGCAGTTATATAATCAAAAGAACAAAGAGCTTCTAATATTCAACAAGGTTCTTAACCACATAAACAAAGAGAGACATTGATAGATTACAAAAAAAATGCCAATACCATTAACAAAGGAGTGAAACTGGTATGTACCCTGGGGCTAGACAAGGTGCCAATTTGAAACTCTAATCTTTATTTCACCCAACCTAAAAAAGGAAACACTAAGGATTAAGGCAGTCTACAGAAGAAAAAAAAATCAAGACAAAGATAAAAAAGGAAACACTAAGGATTAATGCAGACTACAGAAAAAAAAAAAAATCAAGACAAAGACAATTGAAAGAACTGAACTGTAGTGAGGAACAGTGACATTTTTTTTTTTTTTGTCTTACAGTAAACTCATCTCTAAATACAGAGCAAATCTAGCCTACTCCCTACTTCAACTGTTGTTACATCCACAAATAGCGCTCATACTCATACTTTATTGCAACAGCAACACTGTCAAAACATTTAAGAATTCTGGATAAAAATTAACTTAACTTGATTATTTATTTTCCCCATTCTAATTCAGTTGAAAATATGGATTTTATGCATAGTCCTTAAATTATTCTATGCAAGACATCTTTAATTAAAAAACAATTAAAACTATACAAATGTGTGTCTATGTTAGTTAAATTATACATCAAGCCATTACATCTACCATAAATATTAATCATGGCAAGTTAACTTAAGATATTTGGCACTCACTGTCTATTTTTGGCACTATTAGTTGCTACTGCCAACTCAAGCCTAAAGTTCTTTCTAGCCTCACACGTCCATTTGAGCATACAAACCGTGTCAACTCCAGCCAGTAGCATCTCCGTGACATTGGCGTAGATCTCCTCCATGGTCATCTCCTTGGTGACAAGCAAATGTGTGAGCATCCCTCCTTTAACTTCCTCTCCGCACTCCAGCTGGGTTTTGATTTGGGAAAGCCTCTTACTGACGTGAATGTGGCCTAGGATTACCAAAGAAAAACAAGAAAACGTGGGAAGGCGTAGTGTGAAGGGAAAGCAAATGGACAAAAAAAAAGTTATGTAACAGAGGGACCCCATACAAGCACCCGTTATTCAGAAGGAGGAGATTTAGATGCAAATTAAGATTTCTTGGAAGGACACACCATTTGTCCACCCAAATTAGGCAAATAACTCCACAGACCCACCAGACGGATGTTTATTACACATGAATTAAAAAGGGAAAACATGATCTACTTGCAGTCTTTAAACTAAAAGCAATTAGTTAGTAAAACAGATTCAAGATTTCTGAATGACATACTAAATTTGAAAAGGCCGTCCCAGGAGTCGCAGAATTCCTCCCACGGTTTGGGGATGATTGGTCTGAGCCACTTGGGAATAGCCCCAGCGTACATTGTTGTCTTGAAGGTGCTGAACATTAGGTGTAGTGCACTTATGTAGTCTTGAGTTTCTTTTGGAATCTCATTTTGCAGACAGCCAAGTCGACATTCGTACAAAATGACTGCCACACCTGTAATGAGACAAAGAGTGGGAATTTACATTACAGATCAAGAAAAACATTGTACTGATGTAGATAAGAATGCTTTAGTGAAATTTTGGCCTTTTCATGTAGTATTAAAGAGCCTTCATGTTCATTTTAAAAGTTTTATTGTTTTATGAGGCCAGAAACTAGCTCTGATTCTGAACTTTGCTTTATTATGTTTTTCAAGGTTGTGCTTGGTGTAATCATTTTGACCATCATTAATCCATGCCATAACTATATTATTATTGATTTCCTTAACGGACTACTGTATACTTAACATTCCAAGTCCTCTCTCTAAGTATAAGCTCATTACAAACCTTCCATGGCGTATTTAAAGAAGAGATCATTCACATTTAAGACAGTGGCTCCATCAGGTTGCTGAGAGCGCAGAAAGTGAAGTCGCTTAATTAAGTCGTCCACAACACAGTTCACATCATCAGAAAACACTGCTACGTCCCGTGGTCGCATTATGAGTTGCCTAAGGACACTGCGCATCTTCAGCCAGTCTTCCCCCTCTCTGAAAAACATTGGGGAATAACAAAGTAAATGCAATGCTATAGTAATGCTTAGGTAGCATTTTTACGTACACTGTAAAAGTTTGTTTGTGTATAGATTTCTTAGTGTAATTCCTTCCACTTACCTTTAATTTTGTTACATGAAGCAATTATTGCAGTGCAAGTTTGACAAATTGTATCATTATCATTAGCACACACACAAAAAGAGCAAACAAATTCACTTTTCAAGGCACCAACAGTCTAAAGGAGCAATGTTCACATCCTGCTACAGTCAATGCTGTGGACAGAGTACAAGGAGTCTGCTTTGGGTTACTCCTATGTAATTTTGGAGATCAAAGGTTAAAGTGGACTCACGCTGAGATGAGTCCCGTCGAGTGGCCTCTCATGTCTCTGTACTCCTTCCAGGAGTCCATGTTGGCCCTCTGTGGAGCCACGCCCTCTGCCCTCAGAACCTGGGCAACCAATTCACGGTCCGCGATTGAGACCACCAACTGTGGCCCAAAGCGAGACTTGAAGATTTTCCCATACTTCTTCTGATGCTCCAACTATGGAGAAGAAATGCTATCAATGTTTATGCATATTGCATTACTTAACTGAATGAACTTTTCAATCGTTTCAAAATTTATAGTTTTATTGATCTGTTACTTGTAGAGTAGTGGGCCTACAATTGTTTTAAGAGATTAATCAATAAATGCACAGAAAATAAATAAACGTCCCTTTGATCAAAATAAGTGTAAAAACTTGAATGTTAATTTTGAGCTAATTTGTCTCTTGATGGAAAAGAAAGAGCTTGAGTTTCCCGGTGCGCTATTACGCATAGACGGACGTTTTACGCATTCACTTTTGTATCTGAATCTTTTACCTGGATTTCATGTATTCTGGCAAAGCCATCCCTCCAGAAGAACTCGATGAGGTTGGACAAAGTGCTGGGGCCAGGCATGTCCTTCAGACTCTTCAGGGCAATTTTTTCCATGTTGCCGCCGCGGGCTGTGTCTGGCGTGAGGAGCCTCTCGGGCATGTCCGCCTGTCCAGCTGCGGAGATCCCCAGAGCCTCGCTCGTCGCGGACTTGTGCAAAGCGCGTAAATTGACCAACAGCTGCCGTGTGCCGTGAACATTTCTCCAGCATGCTGTCGTTAAAGGGTTGAGGCTAACCATTGTGTCTCTATGAGCGCGTTTAGTCCAGTTTATATTTGCTTATTAGAAGATGCACGTGCAAAGTTGATCCCTCCTATGTTGTAACGTAATGTTAGATTTCCATTGATTGTGGTTCTCTTTTAAAGCCATGGCTTGTACAATCATTCGCAGTGGAACGGGATTGGATGGTCAGTTCCAAAATGGGAGGGTTAAGTCTCTTTTAGGTAATAGGCGTTCCTTCCCCAAAAACTACAGGCTCCACAGGTTGGTCTCCGCTGGTGACGATTTCAACGTGCCGATATAAGGTTACATCACACCAATCGTAGGCTGCTCACTTTCTAAACTTAAAACCAGATTAAGAAGTTCAGTTAAAATAAAGACTACGACTGTAGTCATTTGACATACAAGACAATATGATAGAAGTACGGACAATGTGGCTGAAGTTTCCGCATCCAGGAACTGACTTTCTACTTTTTTTCTTTTCTTTCCTTTTTTTTTTTTTTTTTTAGTTTTCTACAAAATACGTCATATTATATCAATTGTATTTCAAATGTAATCGTTTAGAAATTGTTATTTAATCTTATAATTACCGCCATGCATTATTTGCACAATGTCCTTACATGACCCCTCCATGGTGTCTGCCTTTATATCCTTCTAATCCAAACCGATCCGATCAAATCCAATTTTTTAGACAACAATTTAAAAATAACTGTCACCCAACGTGCCTTACACAAGTTCAAAGCGGCAACAGAACATTAAACCACGAGGCAAAACAATAATGAATTTAAATTAATAAAACACATACACTGTATGTCACCCCTTCTAACGGAGTTAAAATGCAAAGGAAAAAAAAAATGTTCTAAAAGATTTAAAAACAGGAAGGGACCAGCCTGTCTTCTAAGAACTAAATCCCAACTACTCTTGGAGCAGCCCTGTATTTACTAATGTAATCTTTTTCTAATGAATAGCGCAAATTAATTAGTCTCTTCTAATTTGCTTTGGATGAATTCAACTCTGCCTCATTAGGTCTACTCCTTTCAAGAAGATACAAAACAGGGATTAAATAAAGCCACAAACAAAGCCATTCACATTTGTCTAGAGTAGAGGTGGGCTTGTTTCCACACTTTGTTAGTTGGAATAAAAGAAAATTGTAAATACTTTTCCAACAAATTTCCTGTTGGTTTATTTTGCTTTTGTAAGATGTACAAAAATATCCACATATTACATACATACATACATACATTATTTGTCAAAGTTAAGAGCAATTATACACTGTGTTGTAAAATAAAATCTGAAATGAAAAACAACCAGCAAAAACAACTGAGAAGTGTCATACATTAACCAAAATGTTTGTCTAAACAGGTTGCTCATTTGCATTTTCAAATGTTAATAGTCACAAGAGGTGTAATCAGTTGAAGTCCACCAGGTTAATTCCAGAAGTGAACTGTGAGGACAACATATGTCCTTGGTGTTTTCTAAAGCTTTCTGAAGCGCTTAAAGAGCGGGTGCACGTTTTTTGCCAACAAAGCAGCTTTATTGCCTCGGCTCTGATACTCCATGTAAACAGTGTCGTCTGCCCCTGACATGGAGCTCATTGTTCCTGTCCGTCTGGAAATCTGTAAATATTAAAATAGAACAAAGTATAAGAAAATATAAATTCAACAACAAAATGCATGTTTTACTCTTTGAACAGGTTCTGTGTGCTTGCCTCCAATTACTTTTCAGGGTTTTATTGTTGATGTATTATTTACTTATTGTAATTCATTGTGTTTTTGTCTAAACAGTCCAATACAGTGGGTAATTCTGTCCACGTGTACAGCTTCAGCTTGTTTACAAAAAAGTTGTACATTTGAATGTGTTTTTTCTCTGTCATGTAATTTGTACATTTGGTCACACGTCTTAGGGCACATGACCTCGTGCTCCTTTAAAAGACCTGACTGGCCTGACCAAGACACCACGTGTATCAAAACGCTTTGGCTTGTACCATTTAAGGACTTTTATTCTAATTCCAACAGTGCCACAGACTTTTTTGACAGGTTTTACTTTATCACAGTAAGTTTTTACACTACAAGCTTTGTCATATTCACTGTCTGCTTTTGTGCCTTGTCCTTCAGTAGCACCTGGTGCTATCTTAGTAAAGATACCCTGACGCTCTCACTTCCTGGGGTTTTATTATGTTTTGTTTTTTTTTGTTTGTTTGTTTACCTGTGGCCGACCGCCCACCTCTCCAGCTACAACTTCCTCCTCTGCATCCAGATCTGAGGCTGCCAGGACTTTCTGAAGGAGCTGGTACTGCTCCTCACGTGTAGAAAACATCAGGTCTTCTTCATCCATTCCGGCCAACTTTGTGATTACCTAAGACATGAACTCGCAGTTATGTAAGATGTATTGTGTCACGAGGAGCAAGGAAAGGAAAATAGTGACCTTGTAACAACACACCTTAAAACTGTAGCCCTGGTCAACCAAGAACCTCTGTCTTTTTGTGGAGTATGCCATCTCTTGCGTGTCCTGAGACACCAGTGAGTAGAAGTAGGCATTGTATTCCTCAGCAACCATTCCTGGACAGATCAAAGGTTGCAAAATTTCCATACTCATTTAATACTTATTTATTTATTGGTATAGCACTGATGGAAGCAAGGCTGCACTATTGGCCTCTCAGACCACCTCCAGTCACTCACTGAAGCCAGTTGCACATTAGAGATTTTAATCTGTGACACACAGGGTGCAGACAACATTAATACTGATAGAACGCACTAGAGCCAAAGATGATCCACTGTGGCACCTGGTATTTCCAGCTGTCTCCCATCTAAATACTAACCAGACCCAACACTGTTAAGCTTTGGAGATCAGACAAGATAACCAACCTTTTTTGGCTCTCAGAACTCTGCCAAGCCTCTGGGCTTCCTGCCTGCGTGATCCACCGTGAGATGAGATCTGAATAAGTACATTGGCCTCTGGAAGGTCAAATGAGGTGTCTCCAACCTGTGAGACAATCATGTAGTAGAACTTTAGTAGTTTTGTTTTACAAGCCTGTGGCAGACTACAATGTGATACTATCATAATCAGATTTGTCATATTTAGAAAATGTAATATGGTAAAATCTAACTTTAACACTGTCTTTACGTTTGTATATGAGTCATATGCTTCCAAGCAGAATACAGTACACTTCATATATTTAAAAAGATCAAATCTAATAGATAGGGTACATCAGTTTACCTTGGAGATAAATATTGTGTTAATTTTTGGGTTGTGCTTAAAGTTTTGAAGGATCTGCATTCTCTCCCCCTGAGATGTTGGACCATAGATGAAAGGCCTTCACAGAATTAAAATTAATGTTAATTATGATATATATTGTTATTAGTAATAGAAGAAACAGTCTTTAATCTATAAATAAGTGACCTTACTTGTTGAGACGGATTGCATATTCCTTTAGAGCAAACACATTATCAGCAAAGACAATAATCTTGTCATTGCGTCTTTCGTGGAATCGAATTAGAAACTGACAAGCTCGAAACTTGTTTGGATTCATTGTATAGAGAAGGATCCGCTTTTTGGTCTTGATGGCGACATATTCTCGGTAAAACTCTGGAGACATTGGACACCACACCTGGAAAAAATACATAAGAAAAAGACACATCATTTTAGGAATGTATAGATGTATGTTTCTAGACACTTCTGTCTGGTTGAATTAATTATTTGTATTTGTTGTTCAGTTGCATAACTCACCTCTGCACACTGGACTTTGGCAATATACCCATTATTCTGCAACTCCATCCAGTTGGCCTCATACAGTTTAGGTCCGATCAGGAAGTTGAGGTCAACAATCTTGTCATCTTCTCTGACTAAAGTAGCTGTGAGTCCCAGTTTACAGTGGGCCTGGACAATGGTCAGGACACGACGAAACATCTTGGCTAAAAAAAAAACACACACACAAATAGTATGTTAACATGCACAGAAAAATCTGATCTGATTTCTGGAGTTATAAGATTATCAAAATGTCATCTAAACAGTTATATTTGACATGAGTAATCTGATTCCTTTTTGATAGTTCAGGGCTGTGCAGGTGTTTTGTTTCCTTCACACATGTTAAAGACACAAAGACTGCATATTTAGGCTGAGTTCTTCTCTCAAACAGCCTCCACCTTGTCATGTCATATGGTAATACAGGAAGTGCTCCGCTGTGTTTTTAAACTCCATAGACCTTCACTAGCCCTGGAAATTGCCAATCTCTACCGAACAAAAGATAAAAGGAGATGTTAACTTAAAAACAACTGCTTCATCACAAGATGGAACAGAGCAGTTTGAGCTTCGGAGATGCAGACAGACTAACAATAAAGAGTTATTCAAACACGTGTACATGAAACAAAACACAACTCCTGGTATGTTTTGATGCGGTAACAACAATATAATATGGCATAAAGCTCAAAAGAGTCCATTTTGTGTAATATAGGACCTTTAAAAATCAAAAGAGTTATACTAACATGTATGTTTTTTCACTCTTTCTTTAAATACAAGAGTAAAAAACCATTAACTGATGCATGTGACCAGGTAGTTTTGATGTAAAACACACAAATATCAGATTACAGATTACTAATTAGTAGGTTATCTGATTACTTTCATTATCTTTTTTATACTGGCAATATAAATGTACGCACTGATATAATGGTTTATTTATTGACCCATAAGCTTACCAGGGATCGTGTGCACCTCATCCAGGATCATGAGGCCCCACTCTTGAGTACGCATCCACTCCATGACCCTCTCGGCCTCCCATGAACGCTTTGTTGTGTGTCCCAACATAGAATAAGTACTAATAGCGATGGAGCAGCCAATGGGTTTGTCTTTAGCATCTGAAGTGAAGCGACAGATTTGAGAGTCGTCAATCGTGGACCACATCTTGAACTGGGCTTTCCACTGCTCCACTGAGACTGAGGAGTTACCCAAAACAAGACAGCGTTTCCGTACAGTGCATGCAGCTGTTACACCTACCAGAGATTTACCAGCACCTGCAAGGAAATCAGATGGTTAAACCACAAAGACAGCCAGTCATGGGGACAAATGATCTTTTCACTGAAATAAATCCTTAAATAATAATAATTATTATTTTTGTAATTATTGCATTGCAAAAGAAGGTCTTGCAATACAATTCACGTTGGGGCTAAAAATCTTTCTTGAATAATAAAATCACAATCTGAAATCCTGTCTTTTCTACTCTCACATCAAAAGACATTCAAATAAAGTAACATCTGTAAATTACAATGTATGTTTAATATATAAAATATAGTAAACTACAACTAATGACTAACTAATATTTGATTAAGAGTTTAAGTAAAACAGTAGCAACATTCACAACAATGGCAGCAACATTATTATTACCATGGACTAGTAATAAAGTCACATCCCATTCTGTGGAAGGGGATGTTTAATTCAATTTGGCATTGCTATAAAACTGTTTCTCAATTTCTTCTGTAGACTCACCACAGGGAAGTACAATGACTCCTGAGCGTGCACGCCCATTTCCAAACATCTTGCGCAGGCTTTTTTCTTGATAAGGCCTCAACACTGCAGTGGCCTTTAAGTCAATGTTGATGTCTGGGTTGACTGAATCATTACGAAAGTCATACTCCGCTAGCAGAGGGTACTCCAAATTAATGCAACGCTTCTGAAGCTCCTCAATCATCTCCTAAAAAAAAAAATCTGGTGAAATTTATTTTTGTGCTGATTTGGGTTCAACAGTCTTTAAATGTGCTGCAAGGTCTGACCAATCTAGCAATTGTCAACATAAAATACAAAAACCTAAAAAAGTTTAAAAAAAATAAAATTATCCAACACATACATACTTGTCTAATTTCAAATGACACTGTTTGAGTCTCTTCTTCTTCCTCCTCATCTTTGTCCATTTGCTCATAGTAACTAAAAATGTCTTCAGGAACTTGCTCAGTTGAACCATCAGCAGCCTGTGATGTAGAGGCACCTCCTTTGTCCTGTGTCTTGGATATCTGAAAGGAGACAAACGCAAATGTGATTTTTGCCAAAGAGACGTGTTCATTCAAAACACCTAGTGATATGAGTCAGTTAATCAGTGGATTTTAGAGTAACACAAATACAACAGTACACTACATTTGTAAATAACTCATGAGCTTGCCCTTTTTTGTCTAATTTTCCTTGTTATCAATCTGATTACTTACATCGGATATAACTTATTTCAATAATCTGATACCTCCATAAATCAGATGAATCATGATAAGATTTTTGGTGTTTACAATGTCTGACGTTCGTATGTGAATGACACATAAATACAAAGATAAATTTACCGCTGATTTACTGTGGATGACTTCAGTAATAAGCTCAGTGTCCCCTCCATCTGCATTGCGAAGTCGACACTCACGGACCACACTGTCCTGTAGCAAACGCTGGATCACATCAGGGAAGGCACTCTCAACAAAGTATCTGCAATATATCAAAATGTTAAAAGAGAAAGCCAAAAACACTGTTTATGTGTTGATAATGATATTATGTTTTAATTACATTAAATCAAGACTGACCTATTGTGCTTCAGAACCAGCTTGACTTTACCATAACTCACAGTGCAGAGCTATTGATAAAAGAAATGATAAACAACCTTTTTAGTATTAAAAACCAAAAGAAAATTTAAATTAAACAGGCATTAACATTAAAACAGGCAATATAATGTCATTCCGGGTCATAGGAAGTGGTGAGATAGATAGGGATGGACATTTGCCAGTATTTGCATAGGGACTTTTCATTCATGTTTGGTCAAAGGGTAATAGAGTCAACAATTTAAGCAGACTATTTATAAAGCATAATCTGCAAGCAATAATGGACTGTAATATTAACAAAGATTATATCAAAATGTATATTACAAGTAGCATACTTTTATAAACTGTATTATTCCATCAGGGACAGACGTCTTGCTGAGTTTTTGTAGATACTCCACAATGTCTGATGTCTGAAGGCCCACACTGACAGCTGCGTACAAGGAGTAGGCAGTCAGCTTGTACTCATGGATGTGGTTTGGTCGACACACAGGCTCAGCTATGGCCACCAAGAAATCCTGAGCGTACTTGTAGACTGGTGAGAAAGCTTCAAGAAAAATGTGTCCATCAGGAGCCTTGAGAAAAGACAAAGAGAGCAAAAAAATACTTCCATTAAATAACCCAGAAGAGTATATACCGCCATCTTGTGGCAAAACAGTAGAATAGCAGGTAAGGATGATTTGGAATTTGGACAGTAGTATACACATTTGAGAAAACAAGAACACAGGATGGAAACAACATAAATTGTATCTAGTCTTACCACCCAGAGCGGTCGTGAGGAATGGTCATTCTTCAGTAGCATCTCGGTGCGGTAGTCTTTGGCTCCGTACTCATCCACTTTAGTGCCCGATTCATCCACCTGTTTCCCAGCTGCAGCAGGTACAGCCTCCTGTGACTCATTGCCTCCAAAATCATCTTCATCATCTTCTTCATCATACACACGCTTTTTAGACTTCTTATCTACAAAAATAAACAACAGTCAAGCTATATCAGTTGTCAACAAGTAAACATATAATACATATTAATAATATACTTTATGAAACTATAATTATTCTACAGATTTCATTTAAAGGTGCACTATTAACTGGAGAGGCGGTCCTGCTGACAGTAAGAATAATGCATGTTTATTCAAAGTATATTAGAGCAATAAAAACACCTGCAATTGAAAAATATAAAGTGGAGAAGTTTAATGTCATACTGTGGGATATTTCAGGATAATAGGATGGTGACACATTTGAATTGGGTTGATTTATGTTTTTGGAATAGTTAATGACAAGTGAATAAAAACTCACTGCTAATATGGTCACGTTAAGCTAACAGCTAACCACAACATGATGAATGTGATAAAAGCAACTTACCCCGGTCACTTTTGTCCTTCTTACCCATTCTTATGCTTAGAGGGTAAGATGATTTGATAGATTTAATGTGAATATTTGCTAAATTAAGCTACAACATCAGTGAAATAGAAGTACACAACTATGGATGAGCAGGATAACCAGCATGATACGGCGATCTGCTGTTTCAATACTGTATTAAACTTCCGGTTTGAGCCTTCAAAATAATAATAATTAAAAAAAAAATTGTATCTGACTTGAGAAATTAATCTGTCAAATTTTGTTAATTAATGTGTTAATTTAAAGACCACTAAAGGCACTTAAGGGTTTTTCAGAGTTTTTCAAAGGGAATAAAAGCGCCAGACTAAAGAATAAATTATTTTATGTGTAATAACATCTTGAAGAGCACCGGAAACATACTTTCTAATATTTGGTCAATTGACTAAAAATAAGCCAATAGCAATGCAGCTGCACTATTTACATCCTGAGTGAAAGGTAGCTACCAGTCCAGTGCAATTTATGAGATATTCTTTTATTTAGCGTTTATTAAGATAGAAATAAATCTTATTTTGGTGCAAATATGTCGTCTATCGGGCCGGCGTTACCTCCACATCTGAGGAAAGATAGGGACGAGGAAGACTCCGATTCGGATGATGAACGTAAGTCTGTTGTCGTTTCTTCTTTTTAATTTAAATTGCAAAATGTTTTGATTATTTTTATGACTTATCATATTCATATACATTGTAGTCGTTGGTCCTGCGTTGCCCCCCGGGTACAAACGAGGCGATCCGACTTCTTCAGACGAAAGTGAAGACGAAGTGTCGGTAAAAAGGGCCAAAACAAGCCACTCCACTGAAGAACAGCAGTACGTAATGTATTAACACATACAAGAGGTTTTGATTTAGTTAATGATTCAACAAATTGTGGATAATTGAAATGATATATTAATCATTATTTATTTTAGTATTTTATTCCAAAAGATTAGACTGCACTGGCATTTTTGTTTTAGAGAAGTGACCCCTCTCCACAGTGGCTGTTGTTACACTCACACTCAAAATCTGATTATTATCAGAATTTTGGAGTTGTAAGATCATTACATGTATACAGCAAAAATAATCTGGTTTCTTTTTATCATGGTCTCTTTGATTACTCACAGATCAGAGATTGTGCCATTTGTATGTCATTAAAGTAATTTTAATGGTCCAAAAGTCAGAAAATAATCAGATTTTGATGTGCATGTATCCACTCTTAATGTTTGTGGTATAGACTAGAAATATCCTGTGTTTTATACAGTCAGTTTCAATATTTTCAAACAGGGGGAACTCAAAGACTGAAGATTATGATGATGATGATGGGTTCTTTGGACCAGCCCTTCCACCAGGATTCAAGAAACAGCAGAGCTCTCCTGAAATGTAGCAAAGTTTATACTACATGTACACATATTTTAATGTTGTTTGTATGTTGAATTGTTAAAAATAGAAGCTGTAACTTCATAGTGTCCCCTTAGGACGCCTGTAATAGGACCAGCCTTGCCACCTGGCTTTCGCAGACCGTCCGATGATGATGGTGAGGTTGATGAAGATGGAGCAAGTTTTCCAGGACCAGCTTTGCCCCCTGGATACCAGCACCAGGCATCCAGCAGTGAGGATGAGGATGCAATCGGACCCATGCCATCCAAAGGGCCCATCCAAGACTCCGTGGCTCTGGACATTGAACGGAGGGCACAAAGAATGAAAGATAAGCTGTCAGGGAATGTAAGACACTTGCAATTACCTCTGGATAAAAATATCCAGTTAGTTTATTGAACTCTGAATCAGTACAGAAGACAAAAAACAAAACATAAGCTAAATGTTTGTAGATTCTGTAGGTTATAAAATGCTTGTGAGAAGACCTATATAAGACACAGATATTAGATTATGTGAACTTTTTTTCTGAATTTAGTCGTTATTCAGCAGTCTTTGCTTTTTCTCATACTATAGCATTCTATTCATAAATTCTATTCAATCTGCTGATGTATGTTTCAGGAGGGTCCAGTTGTGCCCACACGAGAATCATGGATGACGGAACTCCCACCAGAACTACAACATATCGGCCTTGGTGCTCGGACGTTCAAAAAAAGATCTGGTCCAGAGAAAAGTGACCGCTCAATTTGGACAGATACGCCTGCAGACAGGGAGCGGAAAGCCAGGGTCAGTCTGTTACTGAAGATATAGATGTATTATAATCTGTTGTACTAAGAAAGGTGTATTCTCAAATAAACAGGAGCGCCTCGAAGGGAAAAACAAAGAAGAAAAGGATAAAGATAGTGCCCCACAACTTCCCAGAAAAGACATTGAGATGGCAGAGAAAGTATCCAAATACAATGTGAGTGCTATTATATTTTTTATCCAGTGTATAATATGGGTTTAATGTAGTTATTGAAGACACTACATTTGTCTATACACATTGTCTGCAGGAGTCGAAACGTGCTGAGTCTCTTATGAGTTTACACTCAAAGAAGATGAAGGAGAAGGCAAAAGAAAAGGCAGATCAGCCAGTGGAGAGAAGGCCATTTGATCGAGATGCAGACCTTCAAGTAAACCGCTTTGATGAAGCTCAGAAGCAAAGATTGCTTAAAAAATCTCAAGAACTTAACACACGCTTCTCCCACAGCAGAGACCGAATGTTTCTGTGAGAATTCATTTATGTTCAGAAATCAAATGATAATGACTTTCTTTGGTAGAAGACTGTCTTTATAATAACATAAAACCCCTAAAGATTTAGCGTAGCTGTTTCTTGTGCATTTTAATATATAAACAAGTTGTTTTTTTCTATTCCTTGAGCGCAAACAAAAGAAATGGCAAATTTTGTGGTTTAAAAGTGCAACACAAAGGATCACATTGGGATATTAAATGCTGACCAGGACCTTAGGTAATACTGGATAAAAAGATGTCTGTTTTTTTAGGTATCTAGTTTATGTGAATAATCTCACATGAAATCACTTTTTATCTTCCATCCTTCAACATAATTTGATATGAAAAATAAATAAAATTTTAAATGTTTTTAAGTGTCTGACATTTTTATTTTGTGTGTGAAGTGAATTTAAATGGCCTTTGATGGAAATATAGCTTTTGACATGATGTTTCTCATTTCTGCCTTTTGGGCTTTTTCGGTAACCGTAAACGAACAGTGTGGTCAATCTGCGCATGCGTAAGTTTAGTGTTTCTATTTAGCGCATCAGAAATTTTTAACTAACGAAATGTCAGAAAAGGGAGAAGTGGATTTAACTGGTGCCAAGCAAAACACTGGCGTATGGCTCGTAAAGGTTTGTGTTTGTTGTTAATTTGTTTGTTTAAACTTCCCGAGAAACGTAAATATCATGTAGCCCATATGGTCTACCGTAGTTAGCATTTACCGCAGCATGGAAACATTAGCCACTAGCCAGGCTCATTGACTGCAGTTTAGAGGGTCTTCAAGACTGTTGTGTCTTTGTCCCGTTGTCCAGTGTACTGCTAATGTAATGTAAAAGTTAGCTGTATTATGAATTGTCTTTGCAGTGTGAATGGCTTCATTTTGGACACTGAACTTTTTCACCCAGGTTCCAAAATATCTGTCCCAACAATGGGCAAAAGCATCTGGCCGAGGCGAAGTTGGGAAGATCAGGATATGCAAGTATGTAATGAAATCACCTGTAAATTACTTACTGAGCATGGAATATATTTAAATTGTTTTCTTTGTCATTTCCAGAAAGGGGAACATGGGGAAGCCTGAGGTAATTTTACTCCCATTATTTTAGTGCAGTGTAGTTATTGTGTAATTGTGTGACGATGTGGTTTTCTTTTTATGTTATTTTATTTATTCATTTTAAACAGAGGAAAGTATAAATGCAATGTAACTATTTACCTTGCTTCTCCCCTTAGGTGACATTCACATTAAATGAAGAGTTGACTGTAATTGAAGGCATAGACACAGTAGCAGCCCCACGAGAGCATCCTTTCACCATGCAGACAGTAGGAGGACAGACTTTAGCAGTCTTCACAGAGACGTCATCAGGTGGGTCTCTGGTTGTTATTTTCCTGTGTCTGTGTATGAATTGCTAATGCTATTACACAGAGTTCTGTTTCATCCTCTAAATCATTGAATGTGCGTGCCATCTTTGGCTTGCTGTTCATAACTTACTGTTTGAGGTTTTTACATGTAGTTTTGATGATCCTGCTTTGCTTTTTTATACATATTTAAAATGCAAAAATACAACAGTAGTCTAACAAAGAGCTCCTTATGCATTATTGTTGTATCTTTGCATTCTATTAAATTATGTTAATTCTGTCAACAGGACACATTGTCAGGTGTTAACATTACCTGCTGCTCTGCAGCAAAGGCAGCTTGCTCCTCATGTTATCATTTGCTTGCTGTGCTGTTGATTGAATGTGCGGCCATGAATCAAAAATCCTCTCAGAAGTATTGCTTTATATGATCAAATCTTTGTCTCTGTCTCTGTAAATATTTGTGCAACATTATTATTTTGTTTTAACAGTGTTTATTTAAACTGTGTAAACTGTGTAATTGTCTGATGGTGGAACCTTCTTGATTCCATGGAAAGTTAAAACCATATTTCAGAGCATTCTTTATGGAGATAGATGTATTTTATCCCATACAATGAAAGATTACAGGAACAACATTTCTATGGAAACAAGCAGGAGGAGTAAGATGCATAATAATAATGATCATATGTGCTTGGTTGTATTGGTGCATGGAAATGGTGATGTAATAACTGGCCTTGTTTGTTTTGGTGCTGGTTTCCTTGTGCTAATCTGCACAAACTGAAGTGCTTTGTTTTGCATAACTGTCTTGGGGCTTTGCTGGACAATCAAGTTGTGCAATTTGGTGTTTTCTTTATCCATGTGGTGGGAGTGATTGTCTCTGTTGTCTTGGTGTGAAGGCATGCCCGCTTTGCTTGTGTGCTCAATGCTCATCATGAATAAATGCGCTGATTATGTAGATACAGCGTGATTGATTCTGCTGTTAATTAAATCCTGGCAATCTTCCTCCGTCCTTCTTCCCTTGTGTTGTCATTTTTACAATCCCTGCCTCCATCCCTGTAGGCCAGTCAGAGGAGAGATCTGATGGCAGCAGCCTAGGTTCGGGTACAGGTCCAGGTGAGTCCTCCGTTTGTGAGTGACAGCTGCATATTTGGAGTGTGTTTCTGGTGTGTTGCCTTCTCTTTGAAATATGTAAACAATCTTTGTGTTTATTTGAGATTATAACTGTGTATTTATTGAAAGTCACATATAAACTCATGAATCTTCTTGTGTTCAGAGTGTCTTGGTTGCTATGTCATATTTGTGTTTAGTTTGCTAGTAGGAAAAACAAGTAAATCAATGTGCCTGTAGTTGAATACTTAGCATAATTTTTCAACAAGGCCTTTATACTCTAATAAGTCCTTGTCTTTCTGTAATATTTTTATTATGGCCTTTTCTTAATTGTTTTTTCACAGGGCATTTATAGAGAATGCTAAAGGAACTATGTGTATGCAGTATGCACACAGTATGTGTTAAATACGCGCTTGCCTGACCAGCCAGTCCCCTCTACATTGAGTAGGTGGTTTTGGCTGGTTAGGTAATAAATATACGTTTTTCATTATATAAAGTATAATTTCTTGTCCTGGACCACTGACTTGGGTGCTTAAATTATGTGTATATATTTAGTTAGTTTGGTTATTTTACTTTAAATCTGACCATCATGCATATTTCTCTATTTATAGATAAAATTGCCTTGGAGGGGATGGTAGTGCAGAGAGCCGAGTGCCGACCAGCTGTGAGTGAAAGTTACATGAAACTGAAAAGGTGTGTGTATTTTCATGATCTGAGTAAAAATTTATGTATTTATGAAAACCTGTTTAAATTTTGCACAATTTACTTACTTACAGGTTACAGATAGAAGAGTCATCAAAACCAGCCAGATTATCACAGCAACTGGAGAAAATAGTTACAAGCAACTACAAGCCTGTGGCAAATCATGCTAACAATGTAAGAAAACTGACACGAAACCTATACAGTCGTCCTATTACATTATGATTTGAACAAAATATATAATGTAATAATAGTTTTTATAAAATTGTGTTATAGTGTTGCAATTTTTTGTTAAAACTGGAATTTATTATGTTTTATGTACTAACTGAAATATAGTATAAATTAGGGATGGGACAATAAGGGTAGACAATAATCATTTGAGGCACATTTTATATAATCATGATCATTGCCAACCAAGATAATTGGCATTTTATCATCAGAATGAGCTGAAAAAAGTTACTTATATAACAGTTGTTTAAATATGGAACTTATTCATAATATTAAAATTATAATTAATTATATGCATAACATTTTTAAACTGTCAGTAACTTTTACAATCATTCTGATATAATCGTTAATAGCAATTATTTTAACCATGACAATTGTGAGACCAAACTTATTATATATTATATATTACTTATTAATATTGTACCATCCCTATATGAATCTGAATGTAAGAATCTGTCCTCCTACTGACTGATCTGTGGCATCTTGTTGCTCCAGCTCGAGTATGAGAGGCGGAAGAAGGAGGAAGGGAAGAGGGCGAGGGCAGACAAACAGCAGGTGTTGGACATGTTGTTTTCAGCCTTTGAAAAGCACCAGTATTACAACATCAAAGATCTTGTGGACATCACGAAACAGCCTGTGGTAAGACCTTGAACAATAATTGGTTATGATCCTTAGAATGTGCCATTACCGAGTTTTGTCAAATAAACCAAAACAGTGGGAGGGTTTACATTTGCAATGCTAATTTTAACCATGGCCGTCGGCACTAAATTAGATTGCTTTGCTTGCTAAATACTGAAAAGGCAATTAGATGTGGCTCATTTAGGCTCAGTTGGCCATGTGTGATCTGTCTGATATGAAGGCAGTAGCAGATTACATAATATAATATACACTCCAGAACATTTATCTGTTCATTCAATATGGTCTAGAAGAGCTTCACCAGATGTCATCAAATTGAAAGTGACATGCCATAGAGATAGACGGGCCAATATTTAGCCTTTTTAGCGTATCCAGCACAGGCCGATATTTTATTTTGGTCAATCTTCTGCTTAAAAATACACACAAAGGTTGATATTAACACCTATATATGAAGAAAAAACTGCACAAAATGTGACTACACAGCTCTCGGGTTTGGAGGGATTTTATAGTAACCTTAAATTTCATCATTTAGGAAAAATAATCAAAGACGGCCCAACATGTTGACCCAAAAATATCGGCAGAGCTTATTGGCCTTCAGTTGCTCTATATTCTAAACAACTAGGAGTTAGTTTATTTAGTTAATTTTCTTCAGTCAGTTGACAAAATCATTAATTCATAATTCATCATATTGCAATGATTTATGAGTAACACAAAAATTACCCATAACACTTCAGTTATTCTAAGTCATTGGCCCATATAGGTCAATCTCTAATGTGCAACTCTTTATTTTTCTAGATTTACTTGAAGGAGATCCTGCGTGACATCGGCATCTATAATGTGAAGGGAACGCACAAAAACACATGGGAGCTTAAGCCGGAGTATCGGCATTACCAGGGAGAGGAAAAGACTGATGAATAGATTTTTATAGTCGGTGTTTTTACAGTGTGTTGTATCCTGACACTGGGTTAAAAAAAAAAATAGTTTTACCATTTTTGCACTTACTTTTAGAGTGGCCATGATGCTGCAGTGAGAAGTATAGTGTAAGGATTGTAATTTTTGCTAAAAGGTTTTAGTGCCAGAATATTTTTACTGTTTAATATGTATTGTGTAAAATTCTGCATTGTAATTTACATTTTGAGTTTTATTTCTAGTCAGAAACATGTAATAAAGTGTTTTTTTTCCCTGGGTACTTGAATATTCAGGTCAATTTAGATAGTTAAGACAGCTCTAGTCAGGAATTTATCCCCTCATTTTTAAATTATGGTATTTTGTGCAAGTGTGCCAACAAGGACTACAATATGGTTAAGAACAGTAGGCAATTATAGCCGTACATCAATTACAATACACCAATTTTTGGAATCGGTGAATATTTCTTCCAAAATGTGTAAAGAAATGGTTTTCATTTCTAAAATCGTAACCACAAATATTAGTTTATTCCACGTCATCATTTATTGAATATTCAATCCAAACGTAGTTTATTTGGACAGTTTACATCTGGTATTACACAGAAGCATAAATGGCATAGGCTATTGCTTGTTAGCGCCTACCCCATGTTTCACAGATTTATTTTGTGATCACTTGAAATTGCAAAAATGTTAAACCAGCATGAATTTAGAAGCAAATGCTATCGCTACCTTATTTTACAAGTTGCTATTGCAATGAATAGGATTATCACTGTATTTTATAGTGTGTATTTATCCATATTAAAGCCCAATGAATGCAAGGTCGAGTGATTGGAGTTTTCTGAAACAGCCACCTCGCTCCATGTCACACCCTGGGATTTGTGGCAACAACTGCAAAAAAGAAAGCACATTTAATATCAAGTTATGAAATACAAGTACAATCATGACGTAGTCGTAGAAAAAGGCTGAAGTGTACTCCTCAATTCAATCTGTGCAGCCATTTTAAGCAGCAGCCAGGAAGCGCGAGGAATGTTTGATTTAGCATCACTATGCAAACCCAAAAGCCAAGAGAGCCTGCTTTAGGTCTATCAGTAGATGCACTCAAGTATTTCGCTAAAATTATGCTCACCACGCTCGTTGCAACACAAGAGTTTTTCCATGAGTTCTTTGTGGATGAATCTTATTCCATGGTCACCCTAAAGACAAACATTCATTACATAGATTAGATGAGTCATGTTATGCCACAGTAATTTGTTAATTTTATGTTCTCCCCTCTTCAATCCGAGTCGCCACTGAACTGGGCTAACAGAAAGCGCAGGGACTTTTCACTATTGCATCTACCATTTTATACCCAGGATGTCCCACTGCAGAGAGCCCAGGCTGTCAAAGATGCGAATTGTGGGTTGTCTTTTTTAAAATAAACTTACGACAACTTCATGAAGCACGTTCAGCTGTCATGAGTGTAATTTTCCGGTCAAGTGGGCTATGTGCACGTTTTACAGCAGCACTTCAAACCATCTTCACCCGCAATCATCGTTGTACTGTTGTCCAAGTTTGTTCGCGTCTGTAAAAGAAACAACAGAGTTAAAATCACGTTTGATCTCTTGACATACAAAAGGTTCCAAAAATTTACACTGTACAAGACTGATTACAACCATGGCTAACGTTAGCACTTGTTAGCAGGAAAAGCGCATGGTATAAATGCGCTTCCTTTTTAAGTAGTTTGGCATTGGGGAACATCTTTAAGTAGAATACTATGTGATGACGATCAGGAAAAAAGTAAAACACTTACCAAGGCACTTGGCCATGATTACTCTAGCGGAGACCCCTTTGCAAGCAATGTACTGCATGTGCTCCTGATGTGTTGAAGTGAAAAAAGAGACCCTCAAAGATGGACGTTCGCGTTAAATACACACAGGGCAAATGGTTATTGACTGCCCCCTATGTGTCAGTGAGTGAACACCATGGTGAACATCTGGTTGACTGTGATGTGCATTAGTAACCGAAGTTAATTGCCCAGTGCCCCATAGTCTCCCAAATAATATAGTTGGACTTTGATTTGAATGATCACTGGAGTAGATTACACAATTAACCTTGAACTGAATCTCCTTTTACATATCAGTATTTTCTATACTGGAATGGCCTACTGCACGATTAAAAAAGAAAATGCAAAACTATTTAGGCGTTGAGAGTGGAGCAGACTTGTGTGGAACCGTAATTACGCATGTGCGTAATATGCGCGCCACTCGCTCCTCCATCAGTCTGCGAAGTGACAGCGAAGAGGCAGCACTTAATTGGACTCCTCGGTCGTGAGAGTTTGTTCATCAGCTTCTCGTGGATTTAGACTATGAGGAGACAGAAAAGCTTCAAAAGGACCTAAGAAAAGGTACGTACAGTTACAGATTATGACATTTCTTGCTGTGTTTGATCTTAAAGTATCTCAAACCTGTTTTTTTAATAATGCTAAGAAATACGAATATGATGCTCTTTTCGTGAAATAAACAGCATTTGTAGTTTCCCATTTCGTAGGAATTATGTTCAGAGCTGTCTTTGGAAACAAGAAAGAGGGTAAAGGCAAAGATGGAGGGAAAAAGAATCAGAAGAATGCAGGTAAGCACATACCCGAGTGCTGCTATTAAATCAAGTGAACCAAAATAATGAAGTCTATTTATGCCCCAGACTAAAAGTACCACACTTTGGCCACCATTTGCAATACAATATGCACTTATGTGTACTCTTACCTTCTGCACTTCTAAAATCAATCCTTCTTTGTGCACATTGTGTTGCATTGATCCAGGTTGTCTTCTCCTGGGTGCTTTTGCAGAGCCAATTCAATTAGCCCAATTCATCAGTGTCTGTCCTTTATACAGTCTCCCGCTGCTTTCATTTAAACTGTGTCAGGAGTTGAGGCAGGGAAACATTCTGACCTACTAAGAATTACATCTTAAATTTTGTATGAATAAGAACTGGGTGTAAACTTGAATTCTCTGCGGGTTTCAAGTAATAGATATAGCTATAAAACAGACCCTACATATTTGAATGTGTGGTTTGCATTCAGGCTTGCTGTTGGGAGGTGATTTTGTGTGTCGCAGTGGAGAAATATGAACATAAGTGGAGCTCAGTATTACAGCGACCATGTTTGTCATTAATGTTTAATAAAGCACTGCCCTGGGAAGCCAGAACAGAGAAAAAGCAGAAGAACTGAGCCAGTCTCATTAAATTAATATGGTGTGTTTACAGTAGCCTACACGAGAGGGCTATGATCTTTTTGACCTAAAATCTTATCAAACACTACCGCTCTTGCCTATTTTGTTTTGACATGAACAGTATTTGCCAAGAGAGAACATAAAAACTTTTCATAACTTAATAAATCCTCACCCAAATGCTTAAAGATTAATTTGTTATGCAGATTGTGTGACATCAATGGTTAGCTATAATGTTTTAGAGAAAAAAACAACTGTCAAAAAGAACTGCTTTATGCTCTCATGTCAAATAAAGCAAGCATGTCTTTATTTATTAAGAAGTATTCCCATGGAGGACACGCTTCCACAACTTTCCATTACTTCACTCATTAATATGCCTCTAAGACGAGAGACGCTCGCTCTGCCACTCCTCACAGAGAGACATGGTTAATGCTGTTCCTGTGTGACTCATTAATAGGCAAGAACCTACTCAGGACTAAATCAGTGTGAACTCAAGTTTTAACAAAAGATTAATTGCAATAAAATTTTAATTTGGAAAAGGTCAATCCCTTCCATTCAAATTCAAGAAGATGGTGTATTTATGGGATTCAGTTAAAAGGATTGCTCCTTTCATTTAGTATTGCAAAGATCCTCTGTTGTTAGCAATAACACTGTTCAAATCAAAATTTCATACCTTTGAATGGCAATAACCCTAATTTTTTATTTAAAACAAAAAACAGTCAAAGTAAAAGTAATTGTAAAATTTTCAAGCCTAGCCAATGATAAAAAAAAAAAAAACATTGATGAACCTCAATGATAATTAAAATGTCTAGGCTACATATTTTCATGATATCTGTTGGTGCAGGAGCAGAGGTGCAGGCTCACAGCTCCACACACTGTAAAGAGCGGGACCGGAGCCAAAGAGGAAGAAAACTGTCCCGTTTGACCAAAGGCGTGTCAATTTCTCTCCCCTCCTCTCCTTTGCTCCCTCGACCGGCCGACTTGGCACTCTCCCAGTCCTGCATCCGATTCCCAGGTGGGCAGTAATAACAATGCATACAAATATGATCCGGATATAATCATCATAAGCCATACACTTGGGAATATATTTAAAAATAGCACCGTGCTTTGATGGATTTTGCCTTTATTAGCTGAGATCGTCTGTGCGTTCAGCTGTTCCTACATGTGACAGCAAAGAAAAGAGCATACACAGACGGTGCCTCTGGGGCCCAAAAATGTGACAGATTGTCAAAGTAAATAATTGAGTGAGATAACTTCAGCCAAGGAAACACAATGAGCTAGGTCACTTTCACATAGGGATCAACACATGGGCAGATTTAATTGTCTGACGAGGACTTCATATACACATGCCAACACAACCTATCAACACTTTTGTATGAATAATCTCCCAGTCTGAGCATCTCAGCAAACACCTGGTACTACAGAACCACATGGACAGAATGGCCTGGTTTTGAATCCTGGCTTGGCGCTGCTTATGTGCACAGTATTATCTGATTCCCTAGATTTTTATTGTTTCACTGATCATAAGCGTTCCAAAGAAGACAGCCAACCTTTATTTTTGTGTACCATTTAAAACTCTTCCACTAGTAAATGCAATAAGGACAATGCATGTAGCACAAATTGAATTGTAATCACTCTTGCATCTTATCCTCCAATTAGAAATCAACTTTTTTATTTAGGTGTATTGAAAAACTAATAATCTTACAGTTCTGATAATTTCATACAAGACTCCTTACAGTTATCTCTTTGCTTAGTGTAAATGACCTAACCTATTTTTGCCTACCATAGGTTGCATTACTTTGAAATGTCACAAGGTGGCAGTGTTGTGCAAGTAGTACAGCCATTGAGAAAAGGATTGATTATGTTTCATTGCATGCAGTAGAGCCGTGTTGGTCCCTAAGTAAACCACACAGGCACAACAAAGAAATTTACAGCAGCTAAAATCTGCTGTCATGGTCAGTATGTATCTGCTGGCCGTGCAAATTGCAGTGCTTTAGTGTCTGCGCTCTAATGCGTGATTGAAAGTATAAATAACCCTCAGTGGAAATATACTGACGGTTTTGGTTCACAAGCATCTCATCCCTCGGAGTATGTCTCTCAAAATCAACACAGCATAAATTGAGACACACCCACACATCAATATAATTGTGTCCCTGTCTTCAAACGCGTAAACATGAGCAATCTTCATTTATTAAGGATAAACGCCCACGGTATAGGGTGTATTGCTGTGTTTGCACGCAGGGCAGCCTCTTTGTACATAGAGCCTCATACTCCTGGGAAACAATTCAAATTCTGCACCACAGATCTCATCTGGATGAGCTTAATCTCTCCCTCACTTTCTTTCATATCCCTCCCTATATCTCCACCCTCTCCACCCCCTCCCCTCACCCCTCCTATCATCGCTCTGGCCGCCCTGATCGCACTCTCCCTCCCACCTCCCTCTCTGCTGCTCGCACTCGTCTCCGTGGCCAAAGCTTGGGTAAAGAAGCCGGACTATGCCGACAGCTCTTACAGCGCCTCGTGCCGTGGCAGAGCAGACCACAGAGGTGAGTACCGGTGCGGGAAGGTGTTGTCACATCTGAGCTCAGGTGATGATTGACCTGAATGACTAACAATCTTAGAGGTGCTGAGGGAACATGCTGTGGACCGTAAGTCACTGCATTTTATCATTGTTTTTTCAAGGCAGAAACTTCATTGTGTTGTCTTTGTCATCTCTTGGGTGTTTTTATTTATAGTCTATTCAGGTACTGTACCTTCTCACGCTGTTCACTTAGATTAAACTAATTATGGGATAATGGGGTAGTTGTTCATATTTCTGGTAGGTTTCTGTGTGTATTTGACCAGAGGGCTACCTGAAGGATAAGCAGATTTTATGAGACACCTTCTATTCTGGTTGCCAGGCACCTCTCAGCTTCCCGTTTCCAATAGCAACTGTTAGGTGCTTTGATAAATAGTAGTGGACATCCAGCGTGTCCTCATGTTACTTTGACTTAGATGTCACGCCTATGGGGACTAAATGCAAAGTTTTTTCTAGTTAACACATCTTTTCTTAAGCATCTCTGTACTTTTTTAATCATTGAATTTGCTATACTGGTAAAAGACAGGAGCTGTAAACTGGATGAGAAGAAGCTATTGATATTGACCTTGATCTACTTTCAACTACAGCTCAGACTTGGCTTACAATAGTTGAAAGAAAAAATGTGACGGTATACCTATTTCAAAGCTACAGTGACAGAAGGAGAAATGTAGGGAGTGTGAAACGAATGATGTCTAAACGCAAAGATGTTTGTGAGGAGGAGTGAGCTGTCCCTGTAATCTGTGATGTCCTGTCATCTTGTTTAGATGCCTACTCAATATGCATGTTACTCAGTTGATAGAGACGCGCTGAGACAAAAGTGTTAAGAAGAAGAAGGAAAAGTGGGAATTATTATTGCTGTACATGATATTTTAGCTGAGGCAAGATGAAGACTTACTCTGCAGAGGTGGGAGAGAGAAGGCGCTGGTAGGTTCAGAGGTCAAAGCACCGGGGGGGAGCCCTTAAAACAGTGATAAATGGATGCAGTGTCGGCCCTGCTCTCCTCTCCTATAGCAACTGCCTAGGCACGATTCAAACCACTCCTTCTTCTCGCTGCGATGGACCTCATTGAAATTCACAAGATGTCTCTGAAACTGAGAGCACCTGGCAGGCGTGTGCACCAACTCACAACCTCACGCAACCTTTTGTCGCACCTCAAAACATGGCGTTGCCGGTGGTTATGGGGGGAGTCTACGTTTGTGAATACATTTCACACTATTGATGCCTGGTTTTAGCTGGGTGGGAAAAACTGTGAAGGAGCTGAACCAAAATTTGTTTAATAATAATTATATTAAGCATGTCAATCATCAATATCAGCTGATCTATCAAAAAATAGAAACGAACAGTGTTTTTGGTGGGCTCAGTATTTACTATTTGACGTTATTTACTTTAGTGAGGAAGTATTTTCTGTTGTGCATTAATATGTGAGTTGTGGAGGGTCAATTACTGCCAACTGTTAATAGCTTATTAGAAATACAGAGTTAAATTGTTTTTCATTATGTTATTTATTTAATTAGACTATGCTCTATGTTTTATTTAAAAGGTGTAAAGGTGTGTAACTTTTCAGTATGGTATTAAAATTCTTCATGAAGACCAAACCAGACCAATTTACAGGTCAGATCTGTGGAGGGGCAACCCTACTTGCAGTCACAATGCCTCTTTATCTGTTTTTGAGCTATTGAGTAAATGTAAGGTAGAGCTGTTTAATGTCATACTGTGGGACATTACAGGCAGAGCAATGATGCCCCCACCAAAAAGTTACAAAGTGCACCTTTAAGATTTGGTTCATTTAGGTGTTTAAATTATGCTGCAATCACCTAACGTGGTATTTAATATTATAATTTAGCAGTTTTCCCTATAGAAATTAATCACCTTGTCCTTTTTTTTATTTTTTTCTTTGCTATTTTTTAGACCTCCACGTGGCGCCCCAGTTGGGCTCCTCCCTTTCTACCCAGGAACTGATGACCAGACTATGCTTCTTATTGGGAGAAGCATCGCCCGGCTCTAGGTCCCCTATGGAGGACAGGAGGGAGAGGAAGGTAGGCCAGCTACGTATCGATTTCTTGCAGTCCTTTTGCTGTCATGTCATGTCATATAAGTAGGGCACATTGGCTTCATCAGATGACCTTCCTCTGTACTTCCATATGGTGATATTAGTTAATAGTGCATTGATTTTGACTTGTTTACATTCATAATAGATAAGGCTAACGTCTTTTTTAACATGTTTTGCTGTAGTTCAGAATAATCAGTACATTCCTGGTGCAATATCTTTCTTCTGATTTCACAACATTGAAGAGAGGTGTTAGATCTGGTTAGATATAGCGTATTACGATATTACTGTATTGACTTGTCGTTCAATAATTGTTGTAATATGATAAGATTTGAGCTGTAGGGGGTGGAATAACTAATTATTGCTTCATTTAGCTATTTATTTGTTGCAGCTCAAGCCTTTGAATGATACAGTTTACTTAAAAATTGTTTACTGGGATTATCTTGCTTCATTGTTATTGTGTCAGTGGCATAAAGTAGTGTTAATATTACTGCAGTATATATCTCTAGTGATATATCGTGCTTCAAATTTTGTTATTGTGACAGGCCTAGTTGGATAACTGATTTAACTTTGTCGATCTTGATTTATGGGTATTATTTTACTTTTCTTATTAATATTAAACACAATTTGGCACACATTAACTCTTTGTCAACAAGGAAGTTTATATACTAGTTAAATGCTATGTTGTTAAGTTGTGTAAAGGTGCATTGTGTAACTTTTCTTGCTTGTCTCCATGGAGATTATTATTATTATTTTTTTTTTTTTGCTTTGCCTGGAATGTTCTACAGTATGGCATTTATGTTATCTTTTTGGCATTCACTCAATTGCAGGTGTTTCCATACCTCAAAAATACCTTGAAAAACCAATATTCTTAGTGTAAGTGTGGTCTCCTCTCCACAGATCTGACTTGTAACTTGGCCTGGTGGCATCAACAGTCTGTCTCCATGGAGATAATTACATTTAATACCATACCCTGGAGTATTCCAGGCAAATCAAATCAATTAGGGCACCCTTCCACAGAAAAGTTACCTAGTGCACATTCTCAAGTGTCATTTCACTAATACAAGATGTTTGACTAAATAAAGTAACGTTGTGGACCAAATTGCTAACAAAAAAGAATAATCGGGTTTAAAAACAATGGAATTTCTTTATGGACTTGTATTTCTAATGACCCTCCCAATCTCAACTTTGAGTTTTTGACATAATCATATTCTAAAACCTCAAAAGCACTATATAATGTCTACGTCTGCATTTGTATCCATTGTGCAGTATGTGGTCGTGTCCCTACGTTGCTCAGCCTTGGCCCATTTTCTCAGCCTCATTGAAGCACCTGAGCTCCAGATTCAGTCAGAGTTTCACAGAGATAGCCTCGCTCTATGAGGAATGTGGGTTGTCCTGGCTAAGATAGATGAGGCTCCAGTATAAAGGGAATAACTGCATGGGAGTAGCTTAAACTTGTGCAAGCATATCTCCTGATGATATGCTCTGTTGCTGAAATGTTACATCACTGCTAATAAGACCTGCACAGACTCATAGTGCAAAGATAAAAGTTTATTTTAAGATACAAAACACTGGCTTCCACAGTGTGTTCAACTTTTACTTTCCAAAATCTAACGGGATCCTGGGAAAGATAATCTCCACTGATAGCACCTGGCATTTAGATCAGCATGGAAAGGTCATGGGTTTATTAGATATGCTCTGTGTAAAATCAGTAAAATCTCCTATGTCTTAGAATAAATCATGATGTTATTGCATGACTCATTATAAAATAAATGGGCTAAAGCCAAAAGCCTACAGTATATACAGTATATATGCCATAATGCAACAGATATATTTATATTTTCACTTAAAGGGCTCATATTACGGTATTTTCCGATCTGTACATACTTGGATTTGTGTTTTGTTTCATTTGTTTCACATTCGCACAAACCCTGCATATTTATGCTGAGTTCTTCTCTCAAATGGAAAACACTCTGTTCTACCTTGTGATGTCATGTGGTAAAACAGGAAGTGCTGCATGGTGGTTTTAAACTCCATACACCTTCACTAGAATAATTTCAATAATTTCAGCTCAGGAATTTCAAGTTTCTGCTGGAAAAAAGGTAAAAGGTTAACTTGAAAACTACCACTGTATGACATCACAAGGTGGAACAGAGCGTTTTGAGCTTTGGAAATTTAGACAGACTATTTATAAAGGGCTACTCAAACACATGTGAATGAAACAAAACACAACTCCAGGTCTGTTTTTGAGGAAGTAACAGCATTCTTCCATGGCTCAAAGCTCACTAGAGTCTTTTGTAATATGGTACAATTTTATACATTGATTTTAATAGGCTTATGTCGTGGATGTTTATGGCTGTTTAAAATGAGCCCCTTTAACTGGACAGATTGTTGTTGTGGCTTTCGCTTGTGATTTAGAGGTCATTCTAGCTCAGACACTAAATGTGATGTCAACCATTGCTTTGGGCTGAAAGTTAATCCCATCTAGTTATTAGTAAACATGTTACAAAATATATTTTGCTGAATTTATGTGGCATATTACAAGAATATATTATATTTAGAAAATATTTGATTCCTAAAAACTAAAAAGAAATGCATTGCTACGCTGTTATGTGTTAGAACTATGGCCAGTGTGTCACAGGTTTTATTAAATGTAGGTTTATCTTGTGTGGAAAAACACAATAGCTACCTGCATGTCTCAACAAACATGTGGTACCTTTGGCTCGCATATTCCACAGCATGGCTTTAAATGTATCTATCTTCACGAAGATAAGCAGGTGATGCCCACCAGGCTAAGTTACAGGTCTGATCTGTGGAGAGGCGATACCCACAGTAAGAATGCAGTAAAAACACGTGAATTGAAAAGCAGTATGTGTAAGTTACTGAGGAACTTTCAAGGCAAAGCAATAACATCTCCATGGAAACAAGCAGATGACGCATCTTCCATCAGACAACGTACACATTGGGCCCTATTAAGTGTACAACATAATACACAATGTTTGAAAACAGAAAATCACAGCAGACACATTACACATATTTTTCATTACATTTTATTACATTTTGAATGCAAGTCAATTGGAGCTTTGACTCCCACTGGCTATAATCACGAATCATGATGCATTAATTTCTACTCACTGTGATTCGGGAATGAGCAATTGAGATCAATGGAGGTTTGATTAACACACCCCAGTCTAATTAATAAGCAGGTCTTACTCATGAAGCCTGCTGAAGTCTCACACCAATTTTTTCTCTGACTTGTGGTTAAGATAACATTGGGTTTTGTTTTGCTTGAAAGATGGTCATGACCAACTGTAGTAGATGTTTACAGTTACTCATAGAAATGGGAGATATGTACAGCAGAATTATTAATACTGCCGCAACTGTTGTTTTCAATATGCAAAATTTTATTATTAAATGAGATTAATAATTACAAAATAAGCTTGAAGTGTATTTTTCACACATATATGAGAAATACTATGATAAACGACAATATTAAAAGTACTCTGTGACATAATACCATTAATGCAAGATAGTCCTGCAAAACCACTTTTAAATAGACAACATCATTAAGAAGCTCGAGTTGCAATAAATTACAGAATGAATAATTAGCCATAGAAGTTACTTACTCAGCCTTTTAAAGTTAAATTGTTATTACACTACAAAAAAAAAAAACTAAATCTCCCCTCTTTTACAAAGAAACTGTACACACGATTAGGAATAAGACAGGATCTCATTGGCACAAGATCTCGCAAAACAAAACGATTGTTTCCTCAGTTGGATTGGCCAAAAAAAGAGTTAAATCCCTTTGACTTAAGTGAGTTACATCTTTTTAGAAGCCATACTTACAAAAAGCACTGTTAGAATGACAACAAAAATATTAAATGACATAAATACTAATTGAACTTTGGGAACTAAATCACAGTATTTACAGATTAGAAATTATGTACAAACCTCATTTTGCCTCTTGTCTTGTTTTGTGGAAATGGTGTCTCATCCCACCCCTTCACACAATAAATATTGAGCCCCAAAATGTATAGATAAATAAGTAGATACTTTATTAATCTGATATTATTCAAGCTTTCATATATTAAACGATAAGTCTATGTAGTAATTATTGTGACAGGCTTACTTCAGTATTGCCCAGCCCCAGTTTTTTGTACAGTAAACTGTAAATGTCCTTCCCGTGAAGTTGGGCTCTTTAGCTGCAGCTCTGGGTTGATGGCAGCTGGATGAAAGTAGCAGGAATTATGTTTTCATTTCCCATGTGCACAGTCAGTCACTCTGTGCACGTGAAGCCAAACACTGGCTCACAGATGGGAGCTGTTTTTCTAAAGGTTCACTTCACGTTTTGATGCAGTATCCCTTCAAACGATTTCTCTTACATTTGATTTATCCTCAAGCCTATTATATATGCGCGATATGTGTTATAAGATGCAGCATTACATAAAATCACATATTCATCATGGCAGAGCAGAGGAAAGTTGAGTATGGGCCCAGTGCTGACCAGAATTATGTCCAGACTGGTTAATTACTGTCCAGATTAGCAGTATGTCATCTATGGTCTACAAGATAATACTGAAATAGGCATTTTATTTCCTTTAACAAAATCTAAATATGTTAGATTCAAACATTATGAGACTTCCCGGGCCAAGTATGATCTGTAAATATTACTTATTACATCAGTTTATATGTCCAACCAGGATATCAGCTGAATCGATATTTGGAAGCTGATATCTCATCCAGCCAATTTTTTTTGTATCAGTGCCGATAACTGATTCCTGCGTCCCGAGTTTAAAGACATGCTAAATTAGAACCTGAACAATTAGATTAGATTATAATCTTTCATATAAAGATATCTATGATAATTCTGCACTGTTATATATTACACAGTGTATATTACTCTCCATTGACATTTGTGTGATTATGAAACATCAACAAGATTAGGCACTTCTCATGAATTACAAACTATCATAAATTGTCTGAATAATCCCCAAAAATAATAATGTCTCTGAATAGAGTTAGCACATCTTCCTAATGTTACAATACATTTTCTTAACTGCATGTTCTTCGTACTATTCCTACAAGGATCTTCTGTACTTTACATGTGTTGAACAGATGACACTAACTTGCCCCCAGTGAATGTCTAATTTTCAGCAGAGACCCCTTACAGTAAAAAGCTGTATTGTAGAAGAAGATGTATCACCATTAAAACTTGCCATACATGTATTTCCAGTGCGTAGTACCTCTGAGGGCCAATTATTTCTACATACAAAGCAGTTTGTTTGCTCACACATTCAACCGTTCCCTCTCCTCAGAAATATGACCGAATCTATACACTGACCTCCATTTTTACGGTCGTCTTGACAACCAGATACATGTGATTGTTCATTGTATTTCATTGCACCGGCAGCTGTCACAGAGATGTTGACAATCTCATGTTGATTTATTGCCAGATTTTTACTAGCCAGCTTGCCCATTGAATATAATAGCAGCAAATATATGAAAATGCTATTTCTAAAGGACTGTTACAAGGCTGGGACACATCGGGCTACTTATTTACTCTTAAGACACCTATTCTGATACTCTGTATTAGTGGTCACCCCCAAAGTGACTCTTACATTAATGAAGATCTGTATAACATAAATATGTCAGATTATAGCTACTTAGCCAATTTACATCTGCAGTCCGTAGGGAGGCAACAGCACAACATACAAATAGAAGGTTAGTACAGCAATCTGAAGCACTATTGTTTTGTATGTTCCTCTTCACAGTGTGACATCTCCATGCTGGGGGGCAGTCCCAGTTCCACTCTGACCTGCAGCACGGCGTCCCCGTGCTCAGAGAGTCCCTGCTCCACTCTGGGCACTGCTCCAGGAGGGAAGTGTCTGCCCCAACCTTTAGCTCCACTGTCCCCCCACAGCAGCTGCAGCCCCTGTGGCACTCTCTCCAGTCCCACAAGCCTGGCCCCCTCCACAGCTCTGCTCCCCGGAAACATCCCTGGCCCTACTGCTCAAAGCCCCACCTCCACCCTGGAGAGCAAGGATAGTGGGATCATAGGTGAGCGCTCACTGCACCATGAAAAATCCATTTTAAAATCCAGGGCAGAATTTCACCTGATGTTTTATTTTGGGTCTGAGGTTTGTGGAGTCACATTTAATCTTATACTAAAAGAAACAGATTCATGCTGCAAAGAATAAGCAATATGATGTTATTTTCTCTCTCCAAATGACTTGTATTTATGCCATTATATAAAATTTTAAGCAGCGTTTTAAAGATATTGTTTCAGAATGATAAGTTAGTATGCCTACTGGCATTATGAATAATGTATTTGTTATGTAGTTTTGAGTTGGTTAGATTTATTGTATTTGGTTATAGGACCTACGTTTAATGACATTTTGTGCCAGTTTAAGATAATTTAACTTGATAAAGAAAATTGCACAGCACTGTTGGGCTCGAAGATTTACTGCAATTGAGTTAGAATCATAATTTGAATGTTTGCATTAATCAAATTGTAAAGACTTCAACTGTTTAAGTTAGTATAATGTCATAAACATAAAGTTAATGCCTTTAATTATGTTTAAAATGTGAAGTTTAAACAGATTCCTACTTTTAGAACACAAATTGCAGATGTAATATTCTGGAGAAGTATCAACACATACACATTTCTTTCACACAAACTTTTCACGTATGACTGACAGGTGACTGCTAAAGTGATGTGGAGTATATAAAGTCGAGTTTCTACTTCTGTAAGTCACCACTTCCACTTTAGCCTGAAGGCTTCACCACTTTCCCGTCAAAACTGGGACACTGCTGTCTTTGTTGCTTATAGCACTGATTCTTCTAAAATAGGGCACTTTTTCCTTAAATAGAATCTGCATTTTAAGTTGGAAGCAGGACAAAGCCCAGGTAAAGTAGATTACAATAAAATAAATGAGCATTTTCTTCATTGCCAGCTTTTATTTTTTATTAGAAATAATTTCAGTCAACAGGTTTTAATTGGACCATAATTATCTCATTATAAATAGGTGGAACACTTCTAATTGTAGATTTGCATATTGAGGTTGCAGGCTGTCTGGGCCTTGTCTTGTTTCGGTTCTTGATAATGGGGGCTGTGCTGTAACCTATTGCACTTACAAGACAGGAAATTATATGACACAGCTGAACACAACATTGACTTTGAAGGTTTAATTGCAGCTTTTTACACTGTATATAACCATGAATGTTTTTGACTAACTACTATTTACATCATCTTCTACAGCGACCATCACCAGCTCTTCAGAGAATGAGGAACGTGGTGCAGATTTACCTAAAGATGACGGGCCAGGGGGTGGTGCAGGGGTAATGGGCCATGCCACCGAAGAACGTCATTCTGGGTCCAGCAAGGACAATTTGGCTGTCCAATCAGATGAGATCATACCTCGAGCTGAAATCACGGAGACCAGGACGCCACCTGCGCCCAAAAGACCTCTACCACAACACCATGTACACGGGACCTCCTCCCTGGTGATGCAGCGCCCTAATTCAGTGGCAGGTAAGTTTTATTCCTGCTTGTTTTCAATGGGTTTTTACAAGCATGGCTGAACTTGGCCCTAGGCCTGTCACGATAATTACTATATACAGTCAATATATGTTGGATGGAACAATATTTTTGGGGGGTCAGTATTTATCATGTATACAATTTCTTTGCTCTGCTGGAAAATTCTGGGCCGTTTTTGGCTATATGATGGGATCTGACCCATAGAAGACTGAATTAATAACTTCTATGACTCATTACAGTTGCAAACTGAAGTATTTGTTTACGCGTTTAATGCTGCTATTTATTTACTGCAGCATTTTTAACAATATTATACATTTAGAATAATTGTTGTGGTTTGAATTGACAAATTAGTTTCAGTATTATCGTTTATCATTTGTATTTATTTCATCAATATATCGTACTTTAAAATTTGTTATTGTGTCAGGTCTAATTGGCTCTGACAGCTCTGTGAAGAAGACTGTTGTGACAGTGGTCTATTATAAACAGCCTGCATTACATTGGAGTTAGAATAAGTTGTAGGTCATAGGATTTTAGTTTTGCTGCATATAATGCATTTTGTTGTACGTTTGAGCAAGGCATTCACCTCTGTGTATTAACTTGATAGTCATTTTGTGGCTATTGATGTTAGTATGTGTCCTTTGGCTCTTTTAAAAAACATAACACTTCCAATGTGTGGATTGAATAATATAATGTTATTTTAGTCTCATACAAAGCGTGATGTAAAAGCAGTCCAATAATAGTATTACTTTACTGGAGTGCACAGCAAGTTGCCAAGCGCTGGTCAAAGAGAGTTTGGTGATGTGTGAAATCCAATACATTTTATATTGACTTTTAAATGTCAAAATACAGTATGAAACATTGGTTTTGTAATGTTTTTGGACAGTCCCTTTTACGTCATTGGTATTGTGATGATATAAAAATCATGGGGAACAAAGAGAACAAAACAAAGATTATCCAGGTCGTTTTCATTTGAGCCTCTCTTTGCTTATATAAAATAAATGCAAATTAAGGACTTACTGTTGAGTTCAGGCAGTAAAATTGAAAGCTTTTCTCCCATTAATGAAGTGAGATAATGAATGCTTGGGCTCAGACCCAAGAGAACAGTTAACTAACTGATTAATATTGACTGTAAAGTTTATTGATAAAATTGATTTTTCCGTGACATTTCCACATGCTTTTTCCTTTATACACTTACTTGACTTAATCGCTGTAATGCCTTACCTGAACTATGCTACTCCTCGTAAGATTTTTGTGGACTCTGACGCTGTATCAACCAGACTTGTCATGATAACACATTTTGAAGTGTGATATATTGTATATATAAGTAAATATATTGAAAGTAAACCATAAAGCAGATAAATAACAGAATACAACACTTAAAGGTGCACTATGCAACTTTTCCAGTAAGCAGGCCCACCACTCCACAAATGTGACCTGTAAATTGGCTTGTCTCCTTGGAAATAGTGAAAAATGCTACAACATCCTCATGGTGACCGTTGGACCCTCCACCAGGAAAGTTACACACTTAATAAGTCATAAAAGTTAAAAATTCAACCCTCTACCTCTTAAATCTCATCACAGAACAGAAAAATAACCAAACTTTTACTTCAGTGATATCTTGATATAATATTGTATCATGACCGGCCTGATATGAACTTCTAAATGTCCAGGGAGGCCCTATAGTTGTCATAAAAACCCTCACAACTCCCCTCTCTTCCTACAGTCACAATGCTTGGTTGTAGGACCCTCTCTCTTCTCTTAGATGTCAGTTCATTTGTGGTGGGAGCAAGAAGAGATTCCCCAAGGAGTGGATTCACAGTATAGTGCCTGCCAGTTTCTGCTGTCAGCTGGTGCATTCACTTAGAACAAGCTTGATGAGACTCAGAGCCAGGGTGAAGTCTTAGTACAGTAATACTCTTCTATATAGAGGATTCAGTAAGACAGTAAGTAGATCATAGCTCAAACTAATGCACTGAAATGAGAAGGAAATCATTGAGGGAATTAAAAGAAAAGATGTGCTGCAGTGGATAGAATTTTATAACTGAGAAAGTGCTATCAATAATGCATAATGGGTATGTAAAGTGAATGTGACATACTGTACAGAAGATGCTGCGCTGTACAGAAAATAGAATAAAATAGTGTTTCTGTTTATAAGATAAAGTATAAAAACAAAACATGGGCAATGATTCACAGAAGATTACAAAAAAGATGTTGACACAACGACAACTTAAAATCAGTTTTTAGCTGAAATAGTCATCCATCACCAGTCTAGTCAAATATAAGCCAAAAGCTAACCTTAACTTAAAATGTACTAAACTGGTACAAAAACAAGGCTAGTGTGAGGATAAATTCTTACTATATTGCTTATTTATTTAACCCAATAGAAATTTCCACATTTTGTGCTGCTATTATTCTTAGTGAAAAAAAATGTTTAACAATAGTAGAGTTTGGATCTTCAATCAATACAGCACTCCTATTTGCTAATGACAAATTCCTTTAAGTATTTTTCAACATGCACATTACACATTAACAGTGAACAATGAACGTTAAATATGTATTTATGTTTAACTGCAATCTGGCTGATTAATTACTATATTGATCTGTAGAGTTATAGCCAACTGTTTATCCATTTCACAAAGCAGTAATTACACAGTTTTGGCCTTAATTATAGACCTCCTGGTGTAGTGAGAACAGACATTATATTTGGAACAGTGTCTATAGCATTTGCCTCTAACACTGAAAAAGGTGGGAGCTGCTGCTACTATAGAAAAGTTGAACCATCTGGACATACATGCAGTGTTGTTTTTAGCATGAGAGATCAGAGGCTTCAATTGTTTTTTTCTCTTATAGTTTGGCTGTAAATAAAATATGTTCCATGTAGGTTTTCACAATAATGAGAAAAATATATTTAATAAGGCAATACTGTATCTGATTGTTTTGAATGATCATACATTGCCATATGTTACGTTTTGTCACATACGTGTTACACATTTGTTGGCAATAAAATACTTTGTTAATTTGTTTAGCATTCTGTAATTAACATCTGGTTGAAGGAGAACTTCCTGTATTGAAACATGACATCACAAGGTGGAACAGAGTGTTTTTCGTTTGAGAGAACAACTCAGCCTAAATATGAAAGGTTTGTGTGTTAAACATGTGTGAATGAAACAAAACACAACTCTAGGCATGTTTTTGATGAGGAAACAGCATGATAACATACTCAGAAAATTGCATAATATAGCCCTTTAAATAACATTGGTGTTATTGCTACACTCTTGCAGTATTGTAAGAATCGTTTTTTCTTTATTGCAAGACATCTGTGCAGGTTTACATGATACTCCCCTTGTTGCAGTCAGCTTTGTTTTAAAGTGTAAATGTAATGTCTTGCCCAGGGACATAGTTGCAGCATGACACTTTAGCATTACCCCACTGTAAATGAAATCAGGAATGTCCAACTTGTTTCATCAAGGGCCAAAATTTAAATCATATACAAGACAGAAGGCCAGCACAGACTGGTGGTCAGCATGGTGAATTATTTTGAATTATATAGCATTTTGAATATGACCATTCTGTCTCAGCTTTATTCAGGCTTAAACATCCCATATTACACAAAATTGACTCTTGTGAGCTTTAAGACATGTTAGAATACCTGAATTGTGTTTTGTTTCATTCACACATGTATGAGTAATCCTGTATTGATAGGCTTTCTTCTACCTTGTGATTTTATGAAGCGGTGGTTTTCAGGTTAACAGCCACCTTTTACATTGTGTTCAATAGAGATTGGTAATTCCAGGGATGAAATGATCCAAATTTTTATAGTGAAGGGGCAGTTTAAAACACAGTGGAGCACTTCTTCCGGTATATGCATGGTTTGTGTGTTAAACGTGTGTGTGAGTGAAAAAAAAAGTTCAACTCGAGGCATGTTTGTGATGAGGAAACAACATTATAACATAGATCACAAAATAGGACAAAAAATTGCCAGAATGTGGCTTGGACATGCCTGCACTATATTTTGCTTTATGTTCAGTAATTCTCTTTGATCTTCTCGTTAATATCTAGTGGCTTTTGAGAGGTTTTCTGTTCCTGCCATGTTAAGCCTTTATATCTGTCACTCCTCTGAGTCTGTCTGTGGTTAAAAGTACGTTTGAAGAGTGTGTGAGTGAACTTGGTGATTTGTGGCTTTTTGGACGATGACATCAGAGGCGCTGGGGGCTATAACGCGGGGCGACGGAGATGACCTTTAAAAATGATGAAAGATCAGGAGGGTTTGTTGGGTAATCATCGTCCGGGTGCCAGTGGCCAGAGAAAGGCCATTGTGAGTAGGATAGGTGCTCGCAAACAGACAGGGTCCCATCAGGCGCAGGGATGAAGTGTCCAGCTTGTCCCTGTGTCAAACGGGCTCAAAAGCTGCTCTAGCTGCATCACTGGTCCACTTAGCCATTTGGCCCTCTGTCTTTAGCCAGCTATCATCTCCCTTCCCACTCCACACCTCCCTCACACTGTTAGCGGCCGACTGTTCTCTGTTGATGTTCTTTCAAACCTCAGTTTTCTGACACAAATATTCAGTTCCTCAGTTGCAAAGCTTAAAACTGGACCACAAAAAAATAATGTGAAATCTGTTGAATGCTGTGATACTATGTCTCAATGGCAATACCAGCATGTAATTGTATAAGAGTATAAGATTACTTAATGGTGCACTATGTACCCTTTCTGCTGGGAGGCTTGTTTCCATGGAGATGCTTTGCCTGGAATGTTCCACAGTATGACATTAAACATATTTATCTTTCATGTATTCAGTTACAGGTGTGTTGACATATATATTCGAAACAAATACCTTGAAATACATACATTGTTACTGTGATTTGGCTTATCCCTCAATTACAGACCTGTTATGACTAGGGGTGTGCAAACATATTGAAATATTCATAAATAGTGTTGTTTAATGTGATGATACAGTATCGATATTGCAAGCTGCTGTACTGATATATCGCCAA